CATGTTCTCAAAATGTTTGTTTTTTTAATACTTTGTCTTACTCCAAGGGGAAATTTGTTCCCTGCATTTAACCTAACTAGGAGCTGTGGAAAGCCATTGCAGCATCCAAGGAGCAGTTAGAGGTTCAGGGGCACCCTCTGCTGTAGTCCCTGCTACACTCGAAATGAGCAAATGCTGCCCCTGTTTCTCTTTGAAGCCGTTCTTTGTTAACACCCAGACTGAGATGGAGTGCCTTCACAGAAACCACAAAATGAGCATGCAGTGCTCAGGTTTCCTCAACTGCATGCAGTTCACCATTTAAACAAATGTATCGACCAAGTACTGTGTCTTTCTATGACACACACTTCTGTTTTCCCCTCAATATTTATGTCCTTCCTAGAGAACACTTAATACATTAGACGTTGATCATTGGATTTTTAAAATGTTATTAAATTAGAATAATTGGATCAGATGTGACAGGGCAGGGCTGATTCTTAAATCTCACACCTACAGATTTTCCAACCTTCCCCGTCTGTTACTGAGGGATTCCGATCACATCCACCTGCAGCACACTTTCTACTGAAAGTCTTTCCTGTCCGACAAGAAGAGACGCATGTTGCATTTACAGATCTTTTTAATGTAGTTACTCAGCTCTTAAAGGGGCCCATATAAGAATCGGTTTATTTGTTGCACGTAACTATCAGTGTTTAAAACAGCTCTAAAATGTCTTCTGTGGCTCTAGAGGGAGCTTTGGCAAGTCTGAGAACAGAACCCTGATGATGTCAGAGCGATGTCATCAGGGTCAAGTTAAGTCACTTAACTTTTGTTAGTTTTAGTTTAGCTTTAGTCTCATTTTTATGTCCTCTAAGCATTTTGAGTTTATAGCTGTCACCATCACATCTACAGCACTTGTTAATGTTCCACTGGCTCAACTTTTGCCTGCATGTTTTTCAGTGGATTGTAGATTAATGTAGTCCATACATCGTTTCATCCAAGAACCAGTAACGTCAGATAACATGACTGACAGAGATCGAATGTTACTGAATGCAAAATGCTTTTTATTAACGGTAGTGCAACAGGTCAGGCGGCTAAATCAGCCTCTGTACAAGAGATATTTTGGGGCGGCTGAGTATTGTTTTGCATATCATGAGTGAATGTGTGAAATTCTGCAGTATTCATGTGATATTTTTCTTTGTGCTCTCTTGTAGAACACATCACAGATCTTCCCTCCCACCAGTGGGGGAGCTGAGCAGATGTGTGCGGATCTAAATCTCCCCCTGTTAGGAAAGGTACCTCTAGACCCAAGGATAGCACGTAGCTGTGACGAGGGCAAGTCTTTCCTAAATGAAGTCCCCGACTCTCCTGCTGCCAGAGCCTACCAGATAATTGTGCAGAGTGAGTGTTAACAGGAATACATACGCAAGCATCTCTTTTGCCACCTCTGACCTCAGAGTGTGTATAGTTACATTCCTGTGTATAGAAGTTAGATGTACGTATTCATACTTCCAGCGAAGTTATTTTTGATGACCTAGATGTTTTACTTGACGTCCCAATTCCCGATTAAATGTAATGAAAGAAGAAGTGATCGCTTTATAAATGGGAAGCAGTCGGCTAAAGGGGAAGAAGGAGAGAATACAATTTTAAAACTATACTTGCACCATGAGATTAATGTTGGGGAATTAAATTAGGTTTGTGAACCAGATGAATCACGAGGATTTTGCATCATTGAAAACACGTATATTTGTTTGTGTCCTTTGAAATCTTCATCAAGTCCATCATCGTCACACTCCACTCCTCTCCTCTCTCCTCCGCCAGGTATTAAGGACTACTGTTCCAACCGTGTGACAGAGGAGCAGAGCGCCACCTGAACCCACTCGGATGCCGGCCATGTGATGAGAGTGTGGTAGAGATGATAAACTACTGAATAAGAAACACATATAGGAAAGCTAATATCATTAACAATGCAACATTCACCAAAGCCTGCCAGAATGATCTCAATGTCTTCATTTCAAGTCATGACAGGCAGCAGCTTGCATACCACTTTGGTGAACTGGAGACATTGGAGTGCAGTGGTTTATTCTACAGTGGCCGGCCAATATAGCTTTGATGATGATGATAATGATCCTTTCATTTTAATTTAATAAGGAGTAGTTCCACGGTGTGATAAGCATTTAATAAGCAATACATTCTGTAAAAACGTAACTTGAAACCTTAAAGCTGAGAAGACCAAAACCAGCGCAGCATTACACAGTCTCAGTACTCTTAGCGTTACACAGACTCTATGTGCCTCTAAGTGACAAGTCTGTTGGTTCATACTGAAAATGGAAATCTTTAATAACGCTACAGCAAATGGGCACTGTAGTTTTTACAAACATTACTGAAACAGGAGTAAACAGTGCTTTTGTTGGGGACTATTTTCAGCTGTAGATTAATACACATTTGGTATCTGAGTGAGTAGTCATAGCAGCAGGACCCAGTGTATGTATCATCATAACAATGCAACATGTCTTCCAGTGTTACAATGTGGCTCAATTCTACTTTTTAATCATTTAGGACAACAGTGCTGCTCTAGAGGAAGCTATATGAGGCTTTGGAAACGCAGGCAATACTTCAATCAATTCATCGTTGTGTAAGACTTTTCATGGAATGTGTTGAGATTAAGAAAAATACAAACTATCACCAGATTAATTTTTTTATGGTAAAAGTGTTAAATTAGACTGTTGCGCCCTAAGATCCTGAATATATACTGTTGTTGTGGAAATATATTTCTGGAAGGATTATAAGTAAAGAATAAAACAATTTTCTGCCCTTTCAATTGTTACTTCCGTTAGCAGATGAAAAGAGGTAGAGACACTCCCATTGTTGTGTGGTAGGGGAGAACATATTTGGGGAAGTTAAATCTATTATCATATAGTAAATAAGGCATTTAACCATTTCCCCCAAGGATATTTTGAATGGTGTTTGTGTATCCACTGGTGCTCACTGTCCCTGGTTACAGTGTGACCCACTGTAACCAGGGACAGTGAGCAAAAGTATGAGCAAAAGTAAGTTCTCTCCAAAAGTATGGAGAGAAAGTCAAATCAGTGGGATATAAACTCAGTTGATCAAGTCATCTGTATACAAAGCACTGTATCATCAGCAAAGTATAAGATTTCAACTTCTCATTTGATTTGTTTTTGTCATTGATTGATTGTAGAGCCATGGTTGGATGGTTTGCTTTGTTTTCAGCACATGTCTAGTGAATGTAAAAATGTGAATTCAAATAATAATCCATAAAAGCTGCAGGCAAAATGTACCAATGTTTGGCTCATGGTGGGTTTAAATTTTCTTCACTTATTGACAGACATGAGTAACTCAGTTATTTTACAGTAAATATATCAACAACAACATAACCTAGAGGTTGTTTCCCTGTTGTCTATTTGTGTTTTTAAGTAAACTAGTTAGTTATTACGTTGTTATGAACAATTGTTTTGAATACATATTATTTTCTGTAAAGTACTTGCTTCTACTGATTTGTAAAATAAATAACCCAACATGAAATCAACGTCAATGGATTTTCTATCAAACTTACCAAACTATTAATCCTTTTTGTTTAATTTATTCATAAATCAAAAATTATTTGAGATAACCTTGCCAAAGACCTCACTTCAGGTATTTTGCCAACATATTTCACTGATGGTGATGGTGATTGGCTATGTGGTCAGTTTTAAACACCACTTCACAGGGTCTGTACTCCCAAGTCTTGCCCACCATGTTTATTTTTGTGTGCGTGTCCTTGTGTGTACTTTTGCCATGCATAGTCGTAGTTCCTCCAGGGTCAACCAAAAAACACATGTGAAACTGCATCTGCATCCTGCTAACAGACAAAACAACAGCCATCACAACCACGCAGACATGTTTCTCACACATTCTCTTTGTAGGACCCACATGGCATATGCTTAAATATATGCTACATGGGTTGCAGTCTGTTGCATGATAAAAGTATGACTTTAAGCACTGACATATTTTCCTCCATTTTAGGCAGTTCAGACTATGTAAAATACAGAAATCACAGAAAATACTGTAATTTTAATTTCCTAGAATAGAAGCAAACATTTTTAAAGAATCCAACGAAGGTTAAAGTCAAGGGCAACTGGACTTGAGAATCTTCATAGACATTTTTAAAGAATGAAAAACGAAAGATTACAGCCTACATAACAAATATGTTACTATTATATAATTCTGCAAAGGATTGTATTGGATGTAAAGGGTTCAATATATAGGACACCTTATACAGAGGGTACAAAGTAGGTTTCTCACTAAATAAAATCAGTGTAAAAAGCAGTGCGGTGAACTTTTTCAGTATGGGAATTCTTTACACCAGTGGGCGCCAAAATTTTGAAGTCTTGTAATGTCTTTAACAAGTCCCATTTCCACTGTTAACATCGCAGATAACTTCTGTGGTGAGGTGTGGATCTGGTGATACTAAGCAAATGAAGCATGGTGAAAACGCGGCATGGCAGTTGGGCATTCATTGTTCAGCCAAACCAGTTTTCGTGCTAGAACTTTGAATCATAAGTGACCCAAAATGGAATTTGGGTGAGGTTTTAATTAGGGAAATAAACAATCTGTCATCTATTTCCTCTATTGTTGTAGTCTGTCATACAAAGTAAAAGTCCCTAAATCAGTGAAACAATGGCTTCCTTTGTCACTTTTATTGTAGACGGTGCTCAGAAATATGAAACATCCAGTGAAAAGTTTTAAAAGCAATAATGAATAAGTAATGAGTAATTGTGTCAAAAAAGTCAAGTGTGTGGGGTGTGATACTGCACTCAACGTGATGTGTAAATCAAACAAAAAGTATGTTGTAGACTACTGGTTTAATGAAAAATAGTAGAATATTAGGTACCATTAGACAAAATTGCTGAATAAACAAAACAACAGGAGTGTGAGGGTCAGGCTGTGTCAGCGTATTGTTACCTCATGTCCTAATAAAAATGACATCTCTCCCTCCAGGCCACTTAAGTATCTTACAAAAACTGAAACAATTCTTCAAACAGACCCTCCCACTCCAACCAAACAAACTCCTCCCTCTTTAAATGAGAACGCCTCCTGAACATAATCATTGCTTCTCTTAAAAAAAAAACCCAACTTAATCTTCTCTACTAGTAGCTGTCTCTTTATCTAGTCATCAATGTCCAGGGGCATCCGTTGTCGCCATGGCCCGGTTCGAGGAAGTTCTGGACGGAGTGCGTCTGGCTCTGACCAGGGCCTCTCCTGCTGAGATCCGAGCCCTTCTGGAGTGTTTGGTGGAGGAGCAGATCATCTCGGAGGCCTACAGCAAGAGCTTGAGTCTGCACCGACTTACTGAGGGGATCACACCTGAGTCAGTTCATAGAGAAACAACATGTAAACCAGGATCTGCCACCCACCGGCACCTCAACCAAGGTCATCTCACAGGATGTGCCGTCACTGACCACAACCAGTCAAGATCGGAGCCTGTATTGTCAGTGGATGACCATAACGGCACAAGGTCCAGGCCAACATTTCATCCACTGTCTGATGAGCACTACCAAAATCACAGGCTATTTTCTACACCGATAGTATGTGACTACCAATGCAGTTTGGCTATAGATGGTGAAATGAAAGAACTGCTGAGAAGTGCAAAATCAACACAGAAGGCAGTGAGTGATAATGAAAGAAGGGCTCAGGGGATTTTGGAGGATGAGAAGGAGTGGTTAGAGCAGGTAGAGGAGGCGGCCAGAAGGATAGCTGTCCCTCTGTGGCAGCACTGGGACAGAGGACAAACGATGTTGCTGCCTCTGGTTCCTTGTATGACTGCTGGCTGTGCAACAAGTGAAAACACAGCGGCAGACATTGCAGCACAATGCGCTGTTTTGAATATGGAAGAGGAAACAGAGCTTGCAGTCGCTTGCAAGACACTTGATTTGTACGCTGACATCTTTAGGTGCACAGAGGCTGAAGTCACAAGCGGCACACTGGATACAGAGGGAGCCGTCGACGCACCAAAAGGCCTGTGTTTCTCCACATTAAACGGCACAGAAACACCTGCATTGAACAGGTATCATTTCAGTGTCTCTGGCACAGAAAAGAGTGCCTCACCTGTTAAAGCCTGCATGGCAACGGACACTAACAACAACATCACAGACAGGCTGGAGGGTGATCTCAATGTCTGCTGGGTCGCTGACAGGACAACAAACACAACGGACAACCTGCTTCATTTGGCAGGAGACATTCAGTGTGGCACAGATGCAGGGTTTACAGGAGACTTTGCATATTTACTTTCTTCCTGCAGAGCAAAAGACAATCCTACTGACGCACAAGATAACTACTTGTACTCCAACACAGATCACAGCATGGCATTAGGTGTTTTAGACAATGTAGAAAATGTTTTCAGGACTGCTTATGGTACCAAAACGTGCAGCACTAATGGCATAACAGACACCCATGAGGATAAAGAGGATAAGGAAAGGGTGGATTCACACTGGGGTGAGTTTGCAGTCAAATTATCATGTAATTTTTGCTCTTAATCCTGCTCAGTGTTTTCTGTTCTGTTCTGTCTGGGGCAATAAGAACACTCTCAAAGCCTTGACATCATGGTTAGCACAGAAAGAAACTTCTGTCCAAGATCTCTGGGTGCATCTCATTTTCCCTTTGTTGATTTCCATGAAAAACAAACACCAAATGAAAGTCGGCTCTGTCCCACTGCATGAGTAATGTTGGTTATTCCATGAAAAGCTAAAGTTACTATTTTGGGTCAATACCTGGAGAAGTTTTGGTGGATTGGGTGTGCCTTACTTTCAGTTTCATTTTGAGTAGCCTAATCCCCAGGCAACAAAAACAGAGTGTCAAAAGAAGGTGGAGGCTGGTACTGTACTGCACCCACAGATCAGACACTGGGTTTCAAGGAGTTAAATCAGGGAAATATTTGTTATGCAAAGCGAGGTGAACTGGACACTAAACAGCCATGATGGACTTTGCTGTGGGAATCAGTGTTATATAACACAAAGCTTTGGTGGAAGACAAGAATGTTGGGTGCAAAGTATGTTTAGCCCTGTGGAGATAACTGCAATAGGACCAAATTAAAGGGGCGGCGCTTGGCTTTCATGCAAATAGGTGTGACCGACCTTTGATTTCCCAGTCAGCAGTTGTTATTATTTATCATTTAGGTAACAAGTGTTGCATTCCATTACTCAGCACAGTCAACACTGTTACAACTTCAAAATAATATTAAGATCAACAGTTTTGTTCTAACATGCCACACTGTGCACATGTCCAACTTTGTGTTTTTGCTCTTCCTGAGCATAGACGCTCATCACAAAAAGTTTAATTCTTCTGCCCCTCTCTTTGTCTTTGCATCCTCCCACCTTCTGTCTTGCTCACTCTGTCCCCTTCCTTACTCTTAGAGCACCATATATACCGGTGGTGACCGTGCGTGTGTTTGTGTGAAGAATTAGAAATACTTTATTGATCCCCGAGGGGAAATTCTTTGTTACAATTGATCACTTTGCATATTAAGATATTAAGGAAAATAAAAATTAATAGAAAGCAGGTCAGTAGAAAATAGAATGTATACTGCATGTCCACACACTCACCTTTTGTTTCTAAAGAAAACAGCTTGCCTGTATTGTTTTAAGGTTGACAGACATTTATGGTATGAGTTTGTGTGGCACCATGGCACTAAGTGGTTCACCAGATTCTGATAAACTGGTAGAACAGGTACTTTCCAGTTTATAACCGGAAGTCCTCATGTTTCCTTGCCCAGAGCAAGAGGCCATATCTGTGTTGTTTAGTGGTTACACAGGGAGTCAGGGTTGCAATAGTATATTTCAAGCAATATAAGCATTATATTACTGCTGACCTGTCCAGGGTGTACCCGATGTCTGCTGGGATTGGCTCCAGCCTCCCCGCGACCCTGTACACAGGATAAGCGGTTGACGATGGATGGATGGATGGATGGATGAGCATTATATTATAATATTTGGAACAGAAATAATACAAGGACCTTGCTGGGAAAAAGTGCTGAAGAAGAAAACTATGAACATGTGTGTTTGTGATGTAGCAGGTAGTTAGAGCTCATACTCAGATAGCACTGAATAGAAAAGAAATAGGGCATCAGACACAGAGGACCTGATGTGAGCTCACCTGGGACAGACTATCTATAATATAGTAATATTCAGAGCAGTGGTTCTTTAAGTTGTTTACAATGTGGCAAAATGACTGCCTCATATAGCTTCTGGTATCGTGACAAAATTAGAAAGATTTGGGAGAACACTGAAAGATGGTTTTAAAGAACTTCATTGTAAAGTTACATTTTCACAAATGATCTGCCTCATTCAAACTGTTGGGGGGGGTGGAAACTGGATGGCAAATTATTATGTCAGAAGCTCAAAAATTAGGAAGCACCCTTCAAAAATGGAAAACATTCCTAAAATATGAGTTGTCAGAGGGCAAGAAAGAGATGCAATTCCATAAGATATGGAGCTCTTTTGATGCCGCTCTGGAGGTTGAGTGGAGCGGCATCTTCACCCAGCAATATATATTTTAAGGAAACCGGTGATTCAAAATTATTTATCATCATCATAATCAAGGAAATGGAAAAGGAAGCCAGAGCATACAGGCTCTTTTTTAGTTGTTGTTGCTCCAGTTCAAACTCTGGCAGAATACTCCTGAACTCAATTATTTAACTAACAGGTTGCTGGTTTAGAAAGTAACACCAGTATTTCAGCGCAGTACTTTTGGTGAAAGTGGTAATGCTCATTTATTTAGGTTCAAGGTGTGACTTTGTCACCCACATCCTCTCTGTTACCCTGTGCCAACTGATCATTGCGAATGAGTGGTGATGGGCTTCAAAAAAAATGTAATGACAGAAGTTACATTAAGACCTAAACAGAACATGCAGTTTGGTCTAGAAACAAACCGTTGCCTCATCATGTCCGGAGCAGTCTCTTGAAGGTGAAAGGCACAGTGAAAGGCAAAATGAAAGTAAAAGCTGAGAGTGTGTTGTTTGACTGAGCAGGTTATTGCGCGCACTGTTAGGTATAGGGTATATGAGGACATACGGCGGTAATTAACGCGACTGAGAGTTCATCGCACAGGGAATATACAGCAGGAGGTCAGCGAATTTGAGCATCATCCAATAAGATCGTCCCGGTAAGATAAATGCTATCCCAACTGCGATAGGGCGATTTAAGCGCGTTTATCCAAAGTGCGCAAGCATGTTTAGGAAGAGATTTCGGGGGTCTTCACTTTCATCTACATCTCTTCAAATGTAAATTAGGCGTTTTGTTATGATTTCAAGTTGTTTTACCAAAGAATACACAGAGGAAAACGTTTTTTTCTATGACTTGCATCATTAGGTGATCATTATAAAAAAAAGTTAATATCTAAAAATGCTTAATTTCTATTTGGTATGTTCTGCCTTTAAATAAGGTTAATTATGACCCCAAAAATGCATCAGTTTAATAGCTTACAGTGATGTTTTGTGTGTATGTATGTTCCAAACTTTCACCCATCATAAGGCAAGTCAACTCCATTGCATGTGTGTAAATATCCTTTATGTGGCTCAGCCATCATATCCCCAATGTGTAAAATTGTGCAAGTTAGATGAAAGTTTGTTGTAGGGCGAAGTCGGTGAAATCCTGGTGTTTTTGGGGACTTCCAGTGAATAAAAGAAAGTGAAAACACCAAACAGAATCAAGGTTGCAGGATGTATTGTGTGTAGGGGTGTGTGAGCATACTATACCAGCAACAAAGAATTTCACTCATTCATTTCCAGGATGTAGCTATATTATATATAGCTTTTTCTCACCCTGGCCATTTTTTGTGCTGCGTGTGTTTGTTATTATTGATTTGTCCACACACAACACACAAGAGAAAAAAACACACCAAAACATCAATACTCAAAATGACAGATTACAAAGAAATAAACAATCAGTACGCAACACAGTATATTTCAAAGAAATAGAAAAATAATATATAATATGAACAGATATGACCTATTCCTTTACTTGTTTGTTTTTAACCTAGTATTATTCTGTGTTTTAGCAATATGACCTTTCTGTACAACCCTGTGCGTTGTTTTGATGATGTTACTGTGACAGAGCATGCAACATGGTGCTGTGTTAAACTGGCGAGTGTCTCATATTGGTCCTTCTTTGTTTTGCCTGTTATCAAATCACCCCCACCACTATTTATTTAAAAAAAAGTCTACAATAGCATGAGCAACCAGTGTATTATCACCCTTAACCTCCTCTATCCTGCAAACGGCATGCCCAGAGTAACACGATTCACACGCAATCTGTGTTCAAAGTAAGCTACTAGTCTGAGTTGAAAGTCCACAATTAATGCAGCGGGTCTTTGTTCTGGCTGTTATTTAGTGTTCTGACTTTATATACTAAGGGGCTGTACCAGGACTCAATCGAAAACCGTCAACACATAGTCTCTTAACTGAAACTGTAGAAGGTACAATGCAGCAGGTTGAGTTGTCCTGACTAAAACAACTTAACACCATCAACATTCATACCAATAGGCACAAGGTAAAAGTGCAAATCACTGAGTCACAGTGCCTCCCCTATCTTTCATTTGTGACTAAACGCTAGGCATAACTTAGCTTGGCCTTAATGTTAGTCCGAGTTAAACTGAAGGAAGCAAAGAATGGATGTGGATACTTCCTACAATAAATGTTTTGTTAAGCTTGCAGGATGTGTCCAGGATAAAGCAGACAGGCAGAATAATATTAAAGCTTAACTTCAACACCCATCATACAGATTACTGATGCAATCGGTTTGTAATGATGCAAACATGCTAAATCAATATTACATTTGAATAATACAAATGTAGCCATTTGATCATGTGGGGCTTGTTTGTGTGATGCCTTAGTTTGTGACCCACAAGCATTATAAGTGATAATGACGAGGTATAAACAGATAACAGTACAATACTACCAGTAGGACTTAGCAACGTTGGCACAAGCTGTCACGCATGTCACTGGGTTTCAACAGTGAGCAAGTAATTGTTCCACTTGTATGTAAACTCAGGATATTGTAGTTCATGGCAGGCATCCTAACCCCTCAGTCACAGTGGCGTCCCTCAAATCGCTAATTTATAACATATACTGCAGTTCTGCAACTCTGAGAGAACAACCAACAGAAGCATGCATAAAGTGTTGTCAGCTGTTGGATGGCACAGCAATTTCTTCAACTCAATAGTTTAAATTCAGAAATCATATTGTTTAATCTCAAACATTAGTCGTATTGAGAGTGGCCTTGGTTCCATGTCTGCTAAGGTGAAGCCCACCGCCAGAAATGTGCGTGTACTATACATTCAGATCTAAGCTTCGAAACCACACATCAAAAAAGTTGTCCAGTTCTGCTTCTTTCAAATGAGAATCATCTCCAAAATGAAACCTGCTCAGAAACTCTGACCTAGAAAAACTCATTGACTCAGAATGACCTGGGAGGCATGCATTTTCAAATACAGTACCCACACAGTCTTGTCCGATAGCAGACTTATTTGGGAACAATTCCACATTTAGACGTGACAAGAAGTTGTGAGCTACAACAAACACCGGTGGTGGATGCACAACCAACGAAAACAGGAACTGTCAAAAATTGTAGCAATTTATGCCAAAAATCGATGGAGCAACACACCTACACGTTTTTCACCTTGACCTTCTTCTTCGGGTCAATTTTCTGTTCTGATCTCAGTAGGGCAAATTACTGAGTAGGCACCAATCAGAGGCAGCATTTTTATAATGTCATCGTTTAGACTTCTCACAAAGTATTGCACAGTATTTTTAAACTACCAAATACAAAAGACTGAAGAATTTTGATACAAAATATTAAGCTATTTTCACTTACCCTATTAAATTCCAAAATCCTATTTTGTATTTGAAATACTTATTTTTTGATATATGTATCATAAATGCTGCCTATCTCTGGGCAAGTCTGGCCGTTCCAAGGTCGAGACTTAAATCTGAAGGTGACCGTGCTTCTGCCATCAGGAACCCTCGGCTTTTGGAACAACCTGCCTGAGGAGATAAGGCTTGCAGAATCAGTGACGTCTTTTAAATCATTTCTTAAACACAATTTTTATTATTGTTATTGTTTTACCATTCTTGTCTTTAATCATCATTTTTCTTCTCTCTAAATATTTTTATTATATAAAATATCATCTTATTATCAGACTGCACAAAATAAAATGTGAAAGTGACAAGTGTACGTAAAAATCCATCTCTACTCGCAAAGAAGTCGGAGATAAAAGTTATTTTCTCTTTTGACATAAGAAGCTTTTTAGCGTCCTATGTAGCTGCAGAGACAGAGGCAAGCATGTACCTGAGATATGTTTTGGGATAGTGAAGAACCCCACATGTCCATTTCAGACATAAACCACACACACACCATAGCTAAGAAAATAAAACCGGTTTTGTTTGCAAATAAGTATTAGCGAGTTGCTTGATAAATCTGTTTTCTTTGCTTTTTGCTGAGAATATTTGTTTTCCCTCTTAAGCTGGCTCTTTAAAAGTCTTTAAGAGTGCAGGAAGTCTTTCATTCATTCAGCAATGAGGAAATTCTGAAACATAACGTGGGAACGTGCAAAGCTTGATTACAGAAAATTGCCAGCAATGACACTCACCAAGACATGCTAAATCCTCATGTGATGTTTTGTGTGTGTGTGTGTGTGTGTGTGTGTGTTATCAGGAGCCAAGATGCAGGAAATAGAACTGGACCAAATTATCTGTCCTGATTTAGGGGATCTACCAGGTTTGTATTGTTTGAGTATCAACACACTGATTACATGGAAGTTTGCTATAGTTTGCTTCATAAAACTTCTGGAAAAACATTAAAATATCACCTTTGAGGTGTAACTGGACACATTTCTTTATTCAGTGACTGATTGAGCCCAGATAAAATATCTGAAAAATATCTGAAATCTCACCAAACTAGACAGGTGAGATGATGAAGTGAGAAACCTTTACCCAAAATATGAAGCAGACCTTGTTAAATAGCCTGTTGAATGAAACAAAACTCAAGATAAACTGTGTAAGATATACTGATATAGAACTGAAGATAATACAATAAGTTTAACATTACTTATTGCACCAGGACCACCACCAACAACTGCACTAAGGTAAATAATAAACAGGTCAGTATGAATTTGATGGTTTGCACTACTGTGGCAGAAATGCAGCAATAAAGATGGTGATTGATGAAATAATCACACATCAGCGATTTACATTTACATTTTCAACATAACCAGATCAAGGAATGCCACATAGGCACAGGAATACAGTTAAACACTAATGCTATTGTATGCGCTATTTGTGTTACTTTTACTTTAAGTGCACAACTCTGGCCTTTTTAATGCGTTCATTCATTCTAACAGTTTTAGCTGCATATCTAAGCCTAAGGCCCTGTCCACACTACTGCGTTTTGGTTTTAAAACGGAGACCTTTTGCTACGTTTGCACCTCCCGTCCAGACTAAAACGGCAAAAAAAAAAACTTAAAACAGAGAAGTTTGGAAACGCTGCCGACCCTGTTTTTCGTTTTGAAACTACGGAGGGCTTTTTAGTATGTACGAGCAAAAAAGAATGACTTTAGAAACGATGACGCAGACGCTCATGCTTGGCTCTCTGAGTCTTAAAAGTGTTTTTGACTTGGTCCATGCAAAAGAATATCTGGTGTGGTTGTTCGTCTGGAGTATTTTATTCTTTCGCCTTATCGTCTGTAACAGAATAGACCATCTGCTTCATTTTTACACTGGCACACGCAAGCCCAGTGTACATGAGCGGCCACTAGATTCAGTCGTTTTAATGTAGACGGAGATCAACTCTGATACGCAGCTAAAACGCTGGTGTGGACAGAGATCGTATTCGTTTGAAAACTTGTTTTTAAACCAAAACGAACTAGTGTGAATGGGGCCTCAGGTTCAGGACGGGCTACCCAGATATCTGTAAGACTCCAATTAGAGGCTGTAGCAGCTGGTCATGCTCCACCTGGTCTCCTCCTGGTCATTCAGACAGAGTTCTCCTTTACGAAGAGGTGCCAAGCCCATCTGAACGTGGATGTTTTCTGCTGTTGCAGCCTCTTGTCTTGATAGATGCTGATGAATTGTTGGTCCTGTAATCTAGTACAACTCAAACTCAATCATAATAGTTGAGAAATGCTGAATTTAGGAAAGCAGCCCCAGAAACAGACGTGCATAGTCCACTGAATTGTGAAATGTGAATCAATTGTGAATTCATTAGTAACTATAAATTAATGATAGGAAAGCAAAGTGTTGCTTTGTCGTTGACAAATGATTTGTCGTTAATGCTCATTATTTGTGTTTCAGATGATTTATCTGAATACATGAATGAAGATTACCTGTTAAAGACAGTGGGTAAGTTGCAAACAAACCTCTGCACACATATTCATTCATGAATTCAGTGTACAGATTGCAATAACACACAATAACGGCTTGCCACATGACTTGCACATTATCTATTGCCTAATTCCCTCCATGTCATTTTACTTAGACACAGAAGTGCTCTTTGGCGATCCATGGTGGAATTGTGAGGAGGAACTCAACAACTGCAGTAAGGAGCTCCTCTTTTCATTTTGCAACTGCTGACACATTAACATGCAATCAAGGAGAAAATAAAAGGTTATGCTAAATGTTAAAACAAACATACACAGTTGACAGTGGATGAATAATAGATAGACAGACACACTGAAACATTTAGATTACTAACTTTTATTAGATATTATAATGTGTTAATCTAGTCCACAGGCCATGACTGACCCTAAACATAAGTCACATCACTCTATAGGATACAATACCATGAGAACCCAGACAACTTAAAGGGAGAGTAAGTGATTCTTCAGAAGGATTGTTGATATTTGAACTCAAGTGCCAAACTAATATACCTCTCCCTTCAGTGCTCCCTCAGAAGCTCCGCCCCTCAACTTTCAAATATTGGCAGTTTCTCCAGCGTTGAAACACCTTTGCCCTTGCCTGGCCATATAACTTTTGTCTCTATTTATACTCTTCTCATCTGTCCTTCTTCACAGTGCCTAGAGTCCCACGCATTCAAATGCGTACGTTGTATAGAACTCTTTCTCCCACTGCCCTCCCCGTCCTCCTGTGCACGACCTCTAATGGCACCTGTTGCTGAATGGCTAGAACAATGTTGTGTGGAAGGTCCACGGCAATTTCTTTGTTTTCCACTTATAGAGCCAGGGCTGTCTAAGAAAACTGAGAGAACAGAGAGCTAGCAAACCATGAAAAAATATTTGTTGAATTTAAGTATTGGATTATAATCACTTACTATCCCTTTAAGGAACTTTTTACTTGGTGATGTTCGAAAGTTGCATTAGGTTTTACCTTGTCTACCACTTCCTTTTTCAAACCTTCAAGATGTTCTGAGAAACTTACTCATTTTCAGCTCAGTACTGAAAATCATACCTTCTCTGGTGTCTGCGAGTTGCTTCACTGATTCTTTTGCTTCTTCTTTCATGCACGCCAGGTGACGTCTCCATCCCAACAGAGTTGCCCAGGCCAGACACCCACCAGCAGAGACAGCAGAACAAACTACCAGCCAAAACAAATGACAAGAGGAAAAGACCCAGAGGTAGAGGATCAGCCGCTAACTAGAACCTGTTAACTACAGCTCAGTGCCTGCTCAGTTGTTGGAAAACTGTCCTGATCACCCCTATGCCATATGAAACATAATTTTGGGGATCGCAGCCGCAACATTTTGCAAGCTTGAACTTGTTTCAGTTGTACTTGCTTTTGTAGCAGCTTTACATGTTCTGTTTATATTTTTCCTCTCCAGTTCCTCGATCACAACGGTGCACTGATGAGAACACACCTAGGCCAAAAAGGCAAAGAGCAGCAGGTGCGTTTCCAGACTGTTTGGTTTAGTCTTTTATTCATTTCTTAAGTTAACTGAGGCTTCAAATGTGGGTCACTGTGAAATATAGCTGATGTTTAATCATTCTGCAAACCATGCTACCATGCTATGTGTTTGAATGCGATTTAGTTTTTTTCTGCTGCTCCAGGCAGCCATTGGTTTCTATTCATTTCTGTACAATATGAAAACCAAACTTTCTGACTCTTGAAACTTGCTTTAGTTGAACACTCCATCATAGTCAAGTCAACATCAATGTTTTTCAAAGTTACATTGATATGAGGTGCAGATTTTTCAAATGAATCTGTGTTTAACCTTCATTATCATGCAACAGTAAGTACAATTATGCGAACTTGATATTCGTTGTCGTGAATTACACCACTCAAGCAAGTTTCAAGAGTCTAATAGTTGGTAGTTGGTAACTATACAGCATGCAAACGCATAGTCAGCAAAAAGGCTAAAGATGCTAACATGATTTTTAGAGAAGGAGCTAAAACTTGCCAACACCATGGTATATAATGATTGGTTCTTTCCATTAAAGGGGCTATATGTCATTTTTTTATGAAATCATACCATCAATTAATCACTTTTTTATTGCCTATTTGTGAACGGGTTGTAATCTCACATAAAAATAACCCACACACCTGCTTTCTCGCTTGCTTAAAAATAGCCACTATTCTGCATCTATGTGAAAAAATCGGATTTTCTGGATTCCTGCTCCCGAGCCTCTTGCCTACTGATTCTGAACTCTACACACAGCTACAACAAAATTGAGTCTGCTAACACCAAACACACAAACTCAATGCAAGAATAAAAAACAACGAAAACAATTTATGTGCTGAAGCTCGTCAGGACAAATGAGAATCATATCCACATTGGGCGAAAACAAGGTTTGTTGCCAAAGTTATCCGTTGCAAAGTACTTTAGTTGTAAACTGGCTACATTACTTTACGAGCTAACGTGATCCATATTACTATTCTGTGTACCAGTATAATGTCAAAGTGTTGATTTTAGCCTGCACGAAATGATGTAACAAAAACCACAATGTGGAACAATTTGTTTCTAAAACCAATAGCTGGGCAGCCAGCTAAATTAGCATGGATCTGATGATGTTTGCATTCTGCCTTTCAATTTACATCGATTGTCATTTTACCGATTCTCAGGTACACAGCCACTTTTCTGGTCTCAGTCGCAGTAACTTACGTGACCCACATAATATACAATAATGCAACATAACTGTAGAGGACAACAACAAGTAGCAGAGGACCTATTCACTACAGTAACGTTACTTACTGCGGTATGCAGCATCATAAAGTGTGGCAACAATTTATAATATTTAGTCTAGCTCACTAACCGTTTTTGTTATCGTCCAATATCGTTCAAGCACACGCGTGGGAAGGTAGTGGTTGCAACCTGAAACAGCACCACTAGAGGCCACAGAAAACTGTAGTGTAGTGCTTTTCGTCTGAAGTATAATGTTCAGACTGGTGGTTCTGGGCTTTTTGTCTGGCTGTGTTCATGTGGTAATGTTGGTTCTTCAACCCTTGCAGGCCGACCAAAAACCACAGAGGCACAAGCGGAGGCACAAGCGGAGCCAACTGTCACTCAATGTAAGTTTCTATTCCTACAGTAAATTGATTCTTAGGGGAACAGAGGAAGACACTGTTGGTTTTGTAAACATTTAAAGGGGCAACAAGCAAAATGAATCTGCCTCAGAGGTGCAGGTCTGCAGTAAATTAAAAAGCTAATTAACTGCACTTGGAGAAACCAACGAGAATGTCTGTATCAGTATTGCTGCAAAGTGGACAGTTAAGCAAAACAGGGTATTAACGTCATATTACATACTATTAAATTACATACGTACATAATTACATACTATATTGTATGTTATATGTTTCATGTAGCAACATGTGAGCACTGTGCAGATGAGACTACATAAATAAAATGACATTTTACATACAATGCAAACCATGTAAGGCTGCTTCAGACTAATGGGAAGTTTAATCTTGAATGCTTCAGATAAGATGTCGCATTGATGAACCAAAAGAAGAACTCTACCTCGACTTCCCCCAGATCAGTTTGATGCTTGTTAGATATCCGATTTCGCAATACTATGAAAATTGTTTGTCACCCACAGTGTTGATTGTCACTTACAGTGCACTGTTGTCAGTCTCCGACTGTTGATAAGAGAGCCTTCATTTTCAAGTCTTAAGTCTGCAAATATGAAAGTCTTCTTCATGACACTAAATCTTGGCCTCTGAATCGTTGTTTTGGCCTCGGAAACTAAACTATCCACTTGTTTTCTTTGTTTAACCTCCCTTTTTGATACGCTCAAGGTTGGCAAAACCTGTTGGCAGAGAATGATAAGAATGTTGTTACTGCTTGTTTTGCAGGCTCTGGCACAGGCTCAGACTCAAGTCCAGCAGCGACAGCAGGCCTCTCCACGACTCCTCCAAGAATCGTTCATCTTCATCCCTCCATTCAGTTTATCACCATCCCAGACACTCCACAATATCAGGTCGTTCAGACACTGAGGCTCTCTCCTCCAGTTATTAGATTTCCACTCTCCAATACAGCTACTACACCTACTTACATATTAGGTGAGTAAAGTATCCACATAATCTGAGTTACCAGTTCTTTTTAGGTACACCTGTACAATCTAGTGCACTCTAGTGCAATAGCCCTGTAAAATGTCCTGCTTTTGAAGCTTATAGTGCTCCATTTTTGTTGACATTGTGCCCATAGAGGAAATTAAGTCTCAGTTGATATGCAAGTTTCAGTTACCCTGAAAACTAAAACTAGATTAAGCAAGCTTCTACTAAAAAGTGTAACCTTGATCCAGCTGTCATTAGAGAACTGGTAACACTTTACAACAGGGTGCACAACATTTTGCATAGTTACTAGGGAACGAAGAGGAACTAACTGCTAGTGAATCATTAGTTATAATTATAATGACCAACTAATAGCTAATGATTAGTTAATGATTATTAATAAATAAATTAATAAATAATTAAGAAACGAGTGAGGAATGAATCAGAAACAACTTTATTATTGATGAATCATTAATGAGTAACCTCATCCCACGATGAGACCCCAGTCACTCTCGCATCTACTCGTCTTCTCAAAGACGCTCCTCCAGTGCTTCGCGGCCTAGGGCATAGTGGACCAGCTCTAAGGTCTAGGCAGCTGCCAAAATGTCTGAATAGCAGGATGAGAGACTAGTACCACACACCCCCTCAAATGTTATTCCCCACCGTTTGTTGTCATGCCCCCTTTCCAGTTGTGCCATCGATTCAATCACAATGAGCCAGAAACTCGTGTGGAACCGTAACATGTTTACAGACGTGTTTTGTACTGTACGCTGTTGCTGGCAAAGGAGGGATGGGCAGTTCTTTCATTGCTGGTGTTTTTTTCTCAGACATTGTGTTTGAGAAACTTCTGAAGTTACGCAATGAAGAGACTGACACTGTGTTAGATACTGCTCCTGGTCTGATTGGTTGTTTTACCTTGGGAGTGGTGGATTCTTGTTAATGACATTAGGAGCAGTAAAAGGATGCAGAGGAACTTGATTTTTCACAGATTGTCTGTTTAATGCCCTACTGTCAGCATAGAGTGAGTTTTAGCAAATATGAAGTATAAAAATTTAATTTAATTAATTTAATTAAAAAGTTTTTTTTAAAAACAATTCCCCAGTACTGCTTTAATACACTTCCCAATAGATTTGTTGTTGTAAATCTAACCCAAAACTCCCTCCATCTGTATCTGTGTTTTCATTCCCAAATTTTTTGTTTCTTTCCATTTAATTTGTATTTTATTAAGTTAAATGCATGTTAAATTACTCTTTTATTTAATGTCTGCAGTGCACTATATGAGGCACTTTCAATATGAAATGTTTTTATATAATTTACATTAACTTGCCTTAAACCCCTCATGTACATCTGTTTATTGCACTGTATCAATAGTACATACTCTAACCCATATTTCTAATATAGTTCCTGCTGCCTCACCACCCTGCAAACGCCAAGTGCCACCCCTCTCCCCAGGTGAGTAAAAACCCCTTTAACCTGGAATGAACGTGTGTGTGTGTGTGTGTGTGTGTGTGTGTGTGTGTGTGTGTGTGTGTGTGTGTGTGTTTGTGAATGCAGGCTCCTCATCATTCTCCTCTTGCATTTGTAGTGGACGGTGCAGTAGCACCAATCCAAATGAGTTCATCCCCTCCAGGATCTTTGTCGGACACAGCTAGCAAAGCCATGTCTCCCCCTTGTGCCTCACCACTCTCTCCCAGCCATGGTGAGTATCAATATCTGTCTCATTTCTTTCTGCTTGTGCAATAAGCCTGTGGGGTTATTGCCATCTTACAAATATCACGACATGATAATTTCAGAGTCTACATGTAAGGAATCACCTCTTCCTCCATCCCCCACTGTCCTTGATATTCCACGTAAGTTGCTACATTCTTATACTCCACTCTTCTACTTTGATCAAAAATTTCCTGAAAGTACAAATCATGCGTTGATCAGCTTGTTATTCAATTGTGCTGGTTTTTCAGAGGTAGTAAAGGAATACATTCAGGAGGCTAAAGCCCACATGAGTCAAACCTGCCAGGAAATGGAGACAGGCCTTAGCCTAAACTCTCATTACGTCGATGTGCAAGTGAGCCAGAGAGAGATTCTTCGCTCTGGAAAAAGTACGAACAAACTTCTGGACAAGGAGCTAGTCATCATGGGACACACAGATCGGCAAAAAAGCTTGTTGGGGCAGAGTCAGGTCAGAGTTTCACTTTTATTCAAAACAGCTATGATCTAGTGATGTACATTTCTGCCAAATTCAATACTATGAGCGTGAGTATTTTTAATTGCTGTGTAAATAAAAACATTGCTGAAATCACTGGCTGCAACTCACTGGTGCCTGTTTGTATTTTTTTCAACTCAGATCTTCGAAGGCTCAAATGGAGACAAACCCAAACGCTACATATTGCTACTCGGCAATGCTGGCATGGGAAAAACAACGCTGATCAAGAAACTGTGTCTTGACTGGTCCAGAGACTGTATCCCCCAGTTTGACTTTATCTTCTTATTAGACGGCAAAGCACTCACTTTAACAGATCCGGCCTTCAGCCTTCAGACTCTCCTGTTAAACCTGTCCTCTTTTGCCCCTTCCTGCATGGACCCAGAGGCAGTGTACACTCAAATCTTTGCAGCCCCTAAGCGCGTGCTCATCATTTTTGATGGGTTTGCTGAGTTGCGGGACTATGAAACTCTGCTCCAGACTCAGGAAAAAGACCTGGTAACATCATTGCAGAAAGACAGTAAAGCACAGATCTACACAGTAAGACAGTTGTACTCTGCCATCCTTCAGAGGGTCCTCCTTCCAGGCTGTACTCTTCTGCTCTCTACCCGACCAAGAGGCACTGCCAGTCAGCTACTCAGACGGACGGACAGCCTTTTGGAGGTGTGTGGCTTCACCTCCACAAATGTAGAGACATATTTGTCCCAATACTTCACTGATCCTGCCGTCAGAGCGTCTGCTTTGGACTGCTTAAAAAACTGTAGCTATCCACATCTCCTCTGCTGGAATCCCGGACTATGTCGGTTGGTCTGCTTGGTTTTAGAACAGTCCAATGGTTTGGAGGTCCTACCAAAAACTTTAACTGGGCTCTGCCATCAAGTGCTTCGCCTAATAATTGAAAAGGACAGTAAGAGCATACACTCACATGCTGAACCTCAAACACAAATATCTGTGCAATCTGTAGAAGAAACCCAGACACAAATCTCAAGTAGTTCTCAAATGAAGAAGTATCCCAAAAATACTCGGACAAAGTCGAGTGCAGAGGTTCGCACTCGTTCTCGTACCCAAAGAGCAAGGGGGGCAAAAATACAGGAGGAAGAGGAAGTGGATGGAGAGGACATAAAGAGTGTTGGCGGGGAAGTAGATAGAACAGAGGAGAGAGAGTTGCTGTCTCAGCTGAGTGCTTTGGCCTGGGAAGGGGTCAAAACAAACTCCTCCATCCTCCCCACAGGACGGACCATATCTACAAAACTCAAGGCATTCGGCCACAGGACAGGGCTCTTCTTGTCTTATCAACTGAGGACGAGGCAGGTTGTCTCGAGTGGTGAGAAAGAGGGAGGAGGAAGAGAGGACAGAGAAGAAACAGGAGGAGGAGAGAAAGCACAAAAGATGGGAAAGAGAGGGAGGACCGACAATGCAAACACTGAAACCGGTGACAAACACATCCTGTTGTGGGCCAACCCTTTCATTCAGAGTTACTTGGCAGGGGTCCATTTGTCTCTGTCAAGGTAAAAGTCTCTTTATTCATCAGGCCGTATTACAGAAACTTCCTAACCGGCATATCCTATCGTAACTGCTTGGTAACCATCGTAATAAGGGTTAGGAACTGATTTAGGAAAAAGGCCATTACAGATTAACAGTTCCTAAGTCAACATTCCTTTCCTGACTAAAGATAGGAAAAGTGTATTACAGAAGCATCCTAACTTCGTAAAATCTTAAATAAACTCTCCTAACTTTAGGATAACTGTTGAGCTGTCCTAACTTTTACTTTTCCACCAGGTAGTGTTTGCTAACTCGTTTAATCCACATGGTTGCTCTTTAATTACTTTTACAAAATCAACAAAATGTCAACAGGCGGAACTTAATTGATTCTACCGATGCATTTGATGACAAAACACTCGTTAGTAGAAAGGCTGTAGGCAATGTAACGCTAGATAATGTCTCACTACATAACATAGGGGCTAATGTAAAGGCTTGATGTAACAACAAGGATCCTAATGCAAGTCTTTGATAGGAGGAGATCATTAAATTCAAGAAATACAATGAAAAACATGATGATGTTAGCCCCATAGACTATATATAAAAAGGTTAGCCCCCTTTATTATTATGATTTTCTTTTCGTCATTATTAACTTTCCCGAGAAGAGTAGCCTACGGGTTTCTGCCGGGGTCAGTGAGGGAGCACAGGAGGAGCAACCAGCGGTTTCATCTGCTCTTTGGACACTACAGTGACCTGTGTCTTCATATCGCTGATCCGTTGGATGCCGGTGTAACACCAAAATCTGTGACCTATCAGATTCTGTAACCAAAACCCGACGATGTTTTCCTAACCATAACCAAGTACTTTTAGTACCTAAACCCAACCAAGTACTTTTGGTGCCTAAACCTAACCAAACTGCAGCCGCTTCACATCGTCAACAAAGCCACTGGCGCTTAACTTCCCGTTGGGGTCACAGGATCTAATAGGTCACACATTTTGGTGTCACACTGGATATGCGAGAACGAGACTGTATCCGCTCTTTAATTTCCCCAGTTAAGCGTTTGAATTCTGATTTTTGACACCTCTAAGTCATCTGACTTAAAGTTCAATGATAGTTGTTGTTTCTGCTCCATTTTCAGTGTGTGTTTCATTAAAAAAACTACCAAAAAACAGCGATTAACAACCATTTAGCTTGGCAAAATCAGAAAAGTAGCATCGGTTGCTAGGTAACAGACATTAAAGGTTGATAACCGATGTCGGATTGAGTATTTATGATTTCCTAACCTGAGATAAGATAGGATGAAGTAAGATAAGATAGGATTCCTAAAGTTAGTTGGGATTTGCTTCTGTAATACCAAATTGAGAAAAATCCTATCTTAGACTCTTCCTAGCTGTCAACTTAAGACTTAAGATAGGAACTTCCTGTAATATGGCCCCAAAAGAGTAAAGTCATATTCAATGTTTCCATTTGAATAATATGCATAAAAAATGAGGAGTGATTGATAGAGTGAATTGAAGACCTTGGTAAAGAAGTGACCATATTTGAATAAACTCTGTCCCTTGTTAGATTGAAAGTGAAAGAGCATATCCTTTTCCACTCCCAGCCTCTTTTCTCTTTCACTTGCACTACCCACTCTGATTTTCCTAACTCTCTCTTACTTTCTGTTTTTCCAGGAATGCATCAGATCGTACTTTCCTCCAGACCCTCCCTTTCCAGCTGGTCCCAAAGGGACGCCGTCGAATTCAAAGGGAGGAGCTTGAGCTCACTCAACAATTTGTGGTCGGGCTCCTGTTCCACAACAGGACAGAGCTGCAGAGGCTTCACTCTTGCACAGAGACAGTATTTAGAGATGTGGTGGTTGGCAAGCAAGCTTTAGTAACAAAACACATTGAAGGCCTTTCTCTTGGTGACCTGAGCCCCGCCCAGGTCCTGGAGGCTTGTCACTATGTTTATGAGGCAAGTTTCACACATGGTGATGGTAGCAGAGACAGCGGCAACACACAATTAGTTGCTCACCTGGCAGCGAATCTTCCTGAAGTCCTAACATTTCATGGAGTTCCACTAAACCCAGCGGACGTCTTCGCTGTGCAGAATGTTCTAGAAAGGGGTGGAGCTGAAGGTAGAAGTTTCTGTTTGGATCTAGAGGATTCTGGGATACATATCTCTGGACTCAGAGCTCTGGTGGGGCTCAGCAACATCAACACATACAGGTACTGGTTACAATCCACATCTCAAAAGTATTCTTGGTATCAACTGAGCTTGTTAAACCCCTTCCCTGAACAGCTTAGAAACCCTAATCAGGGTAGCGCAGATCTGTCAAGCTTTAGATTTTGCCACATTCCGAGGCCATGCACATGTGGATGTAGTAAGATACACTTCATGGAAAGTGTTTGGAGTGTAGTGGTGTGTTTTTATTCCCTTTCCAAAACCAGTGGATATGTGCTTAATAAATTAAACTGTTTTTATCTGCTTTAACATAATCTTTTGCACTTCCAAGGCCAAAGAGCACATAGAATTTTAGGTTGCCCTCATTTGCTCCATGAGAGCTCTGCATTTGTTGGCGATGTATTCCTTCATCAGTGTCCAATGACATTCCACTGATACCACTGTCGACTCTTGGGTGTCTTCTAGGGCATGCATTGCTGATGCCATCACCTTATGGGAGCAGCTAGAGCAGAGTGGTGAAGAAAGTCTCCTACAAGGGGCAGTGTCCAAATTCAAGATCCACCCTCTGAAAGCCACACAAGTGTGTCACATAGAGCACCTGGCAAAGATGGTGAACATACACATGCACAAGAGGCTGTCGGACAGGTATTACACCACACACACAGACACAACCACATGCCAATACATTCAGTTATGTTTTGCAACATACAAACTACAGTATATGTGTCTTTTGTGTGTTTACTTTTAGTTTCAGCCAATCACATTCCATCTTGGCAGAGGGCGTACCAGCTGTCAATGAGTTGCACAAGCTGGAGTTTGAGTGAGTAGCTCTGACATTAGACATCTGAATTTATTATGATGGTGATGATGATGATGGTGATGATGGTGATGGTGATATTGTCTTTCCTTCTAGGCTAGGTCCAGAGAATGGTCCCCTGGCTCTTCCCAAGCTGTGGGAGCTCCTGCCAGGTCTACATAACCTGCAACACTTAGAGTAAATATACACAACCTTATTCCTAGTTGTCTTTCAGCGCATGGGTATCTCTGTGTTTATGTGTTTTTTTCTTGTGTGTGACAGTAGCTCTCTCTCTCCTACAGTCTTGAGAACAGTAAGATAGGGGACAAAGGAGCAGAGAAATTGGCTGATGCTTTGGTCTCACTTTGTTTCCTGGAGATTCTAAAGTGAGTACAGTATGTTCTCATATGGTTTCAATCTTATCCCAGTCTTGGATGATTTACAATAAAGAAACATCATCTAATTTTTAACGTAGATATATGATGATAGAACTAAGTGTGCGCTCTCTCTTTCTGGTTTCTAGTCTGTCACAGAATTGTATTGGTGACGAAGGGGTGAAGAAACTGTCAACTACGCTGAGGGATCTGCCCAAACTGCACTGTTTAAGGTATATAATGCACACACACACACACACACACACACCCCTACACAACTACACCCAAAATAGCACATACTGTAGACAACACTTTTTCACTTCCCTTTCCCTCCCTCTGTTTTTTCCAGTCTCTATAGTAATGTGATTTCTGATGAAGGGGCAGAGAGTTTAGCAGCTGTCCTGCCACACATGGCCTCCCTCACTGACCTGGAGTAAGACTATATTTATCTCACATTTTCATTAGAAATTTATGATTGCTATGTGTATTTATGTGTCTGCTGCAATAACTTGTTTTCCTCTTATCGTACTCATCCCAGCAACAAATACCTTGTAGAAACACAAAGTAACTGTAACCTTGTTTATTTCATTTAATTAATGAGAAACTGCACTGCGATTGTTCTATTTTGTACTGTATATCATTGTCACCAAACCTGCAACAGAAACACAAACACACACACACACACACACACACACATACATCAAAAGAGGAACCAGTAAAATATGATTAGATACAACTGAATGTTGTTACCAATATGCAGTGGTGGAATGTAACTAAGAACATTTACTTAAGCACGGCACTTAAGTACAAATTCAAGGAACTTTATGTGAGTATTTACATTTTATGCAACTTTATATTTCTACTCCACTACATCTCAGAGGCAAATCTTTTTAACAAACATTAGAAAGACTGCTGAAGTTTCTTTTCAGAATACAATTTTTCATACCCTTCCTCTCCAGTGAAAACCATGCATCTCCAAATTTGGTGATTTGAATTGATTTAACTAAAGTGTTCCTATGTTACTACAAAGTTATAGAATGTGATGCATTGCTGTAGATTAGACTACCTAAAAGTATACAATTATATAAAAGTATATAGGTAGGTTAAATTACTTTTATTTTATAATTATTAATTACCATCGGCCTTCTACTAGACTACAAACCTTTCATATACTCTGAGAGAAAAAGATGTGTCAAATAATTGTAGCAGTGTGATGACTGACCAGAGGGGTAGTAGAAAGTGCCGTGCAAACTTTTGTAAAGCTGTAAACCTTGCACTACATTTTGATTTTATTCTTTCATTCTTTCATTTAAATGTAATTTTATGCATTCTTTTATATTTTATGCATTGTATAACATGTTTTTATCTGAAGCACAGTGAGTCTGCCTCGTGTATGAATTGTGTTAAATAAATAAAGTTGCCTTGCCTAAAGTGTAAAAGTTTCTCTTTCGTCTGACAGTGTGAAGTATAACAAGCTAACAGATGTTGGCGCACACAGCCTAGGAGTCAGTCTGAGGAACTGTAAAAGAATGAAGACTTTGAGGTAAGAAAATCGTGTTTGTTTGTGTGTGTGTTGGTGGGGGTCTGTGTGTGTGTGTGTGTGTGTGTGTGTGTGTGTGTGCATGGGCGGGTGCTAATGTAATCTTTATCTGGCAACTTAAATCTGTTTACACAGTCACATTGTGGTGACTCGCCTTCCTAATGGGGACAAAATGCAAGTCCCCATATATTGAATCATAAACTTTTAGGGTTGGGGTAAGTTTAGGCAAGTTATGGTTAGGGTAATTGTTATGGTTAGGTTAGTAAGTCTTCAGGGAATTCATGTAATTCGATGTAATATCCCCAAAACCAATCGAAACACAACTTTGTGTGGGGGTGTGTTCGAGATCATCAATCAAGCCACAAAGGAAGTATTGCTACCTAATTCCATTCCCTAATATGTTACATTACTTTATTCCTCTTCTCATAACAGGATGTGGAACCAGTGTATTCCATATGGAGTGTTTGAGAGACTTCAGCTGCAGGACAGCCGGATCCTTTGGCATTAGAACAATTTGAAACCTCTTTACGATAGTACAGTACTTATCGTGGATCTCATGCATGTTTACACTACAAAATACATTTTCTAAATCATGTGTGCTAGCAACAAGAAGGCAAAGTGGAGACATCAGCAGGGGCTGGAGAGAGACCTCAACATCAATAACACCAAAGATATGTGGTAGGTAGGCGATCAAAAACATCACAGGCTACAAAAGCAACTCCACCTCCAGAAGAACGGTCACTCTCGCTGTCCACAGCAGATGTGAGAAGTGTCCTGAGAGTGAACATGAGGAAAATAGCTCAGCCTGATAACATCCCTGAGAGTGTACTAAGAACTTGTGCCTACTGGCAAGCTTTTTTCAACATATCACTGTGACAGGAGAGTGTTCGCACCTGCTACCAGACTTATCTGCAGTTTCTTCTATAAGGCTGTGGAAAGTCATCCTCAGCACTCCACCATGTAAAATAATTGTATTTCTATGACTTATTATTTATTCACCCATCCACTATCATTTTTGTATATAAAGTTTGTTTTTCTGAGTAGCGTAAAGTGAGCTACAAATGAATCTCATTATACAACCCGGTGTTGTAAAATGATGAATAAATCTACCTTGTACCTTGGAAAATAAAGCAAATATGGAAAATGCTTTGCAGCTTTATTCAGCAGTTAATCTCGCTAAAGGAAACAAGGAAATAATAATCCTTCTGAACCCAGCAGTACTACTGCATGTTTCCATGGGTGTGGTACAAATTCAACAAGCACATTTGCACTGTGGTATTTCTCATGATGTTGGCTGTGCCGTTTATAGATTTTTCTCTGTCTGTTGTCATTGGGTTAGGGACCTGTGCCATGTACTGTTTTGTTATTTTTTTTGTGGCACAAGTAGTACTTTGTACTTACAAGAAGGAAATTGTACTTGTTTGCACTCCTTCTGTGGCTGTAAATTATAGATTGCTTATTGATCACCCGGCACTTTAATGTAAATAAAATGTTTAATGTTGTCAGCAGGTACACGTTTTTCTTTCCGTTTTTCACCAATCATTTCACATGTTCACTGAAGTCATTGGTTTATTAACAACTTCTTTTCACTTCCTTCCCAACAGGTTTCTGTTCTTTATTTTGATGCAAACTGACCTTTAATGATGGTGTCATGGTGTTTTCAACTCTGAGTAGTTGATTATTACTACATTTTCTTAACGCCATGTTTTTTCAGCCAAAATGTTAATGACTGTACAAAGTGAGGGCAGACATCTCCTAATTTTGACTTCATGGTTAAAAAGGGGGGGGGGGGGGAGTAAACTGTATTGAAAACATAAACACTTGTTCCTTCTGGTGACCTCTCGTGTCTCTTGAGATTACGATGAAATGGGTTGGAAACAATTTATAGCATAAAAATATGCTAACTGGAGGGTGTGATATTTGAAAGACATAGACATCTACCACACAGGTTGTGGAGTTGCATTATGGGAAATAAAGGATAAAGTGTTTTGGGGGCTTTACCCATACTTGAGATTAAAAGTCAGGAATATCTGAGGCTCTGAGGCTTGAATAGTAAATCACTGAAGTGGGAATTTAAAAGTAAGATTAAACAAAAATGAGTATCAGAGAACTTAAAGGTTCAGTGTGTAAGTTTAAGTGGCATCTAGTGGTGAGGGTTGTGAATAGCAACCTGCATTCACATGCTCCTCGGATGGTCCCATTTCCCGAGTTTGTGAAGTTGTACTTCCAACCAACTGCAGACATCTAGTTCACTCTGCAGGGACAGCAAACAAACGTGTATAACCATATTACAAATTACATGTTTGCAAAAATATGCAATACATTATTTTACATGAATCAAAGTTCTGTATACTTCTTTGCGTCCCATGTACACTTTATTTCCTTTCTTCTATAAAACCAATCGACTACTCCTACTACTACTACTACTAACAGTACACCTTCTTCACATATTGAACGTGGTGACGAAATGACCTCTGTAGAGCCATTTGTCTATATGGGCTACTGTAGAAACATGGACCCCCATGTAAAAGGACCCGCGGTGTATTTAGATAGAATGGCTCATTCTAAGGTAATAAAAACATAACGGTTATTTATGTATTATGTCCTCTGTCACACTGGGAGTAGAGTCTCTCCTCTTGTGGTAGCCAGCTCTGTCTGTGGTGACCCTTTTCTATGGCCAGGCTGTGTTCACTCAGTCTGTATGTTGTCAACATTTTTCTTAGTTTAGGACATTTTATTGTACTCAGGTAATTTGCCAGTGTGAATTGTCTTTTTAGGGTCAGATAACATTGTAATTTACTTTGTGTTATGGTCGTTTCTTTCCAGTATTCAGTATATTTTTCTTTCTGCTTGCTGATAATTTGGTGTCCTGAGGCTGTTGGGGACTTGTTACTGCAGAGAGCCACAGGACCAGCTGGCTGAGGGGACTCTTCTCTGGTTTCAGCTCCTGGTATGTTAGGGCTTTGTGATGATATGCCTGGGGGTTAACTGATTTTAAGTGATTGTACAGTTTAAGTGATCTTTTCTGTATTTTTAGTAAGAGGGGGTATTGGCCGAGCTATGCTCTGCACAGGTTATTTGGTATTTTTCTCTGCACCTGCAGGATGCTCTCAGTATGGAAAGATTCTATGTTTGTTTTGTCCCATTTGTCAAATTCATTATTAGGTTTTGGTCCCCAAATTCCGCTACCATATAGAATTTTTGGTTCTAGTACAAATTGGAAAATTTTAAGACAGATTTCAATTGGAATATAGATTTTAATGTTTCTTTTTATTGCATAGAAAGCTCTCCTTGCTTTGTCCCTCAGATCTTTCACAGCCATGTTGAAGTTCCCTGTGTATGTAATGTTCATCCCTGCCTCACTCCCTGGCCCTGGCACATTCACTTTTTGTATACATGTTCTTAATCAACTCATATGTTTTTCCTCCAATGCCAACTTTCAAGTTTAGCCTATAGAAAAGGCCCTTGTGCCAGATGGAATCAAAGGCTTTTTGGAAGTCAACAAAATAGGCATATACCTTTCTTTTCTTAATGTTTAATTCTTGATCAATTAGAGTCTGGAGGGTAAATATATGGTCCGTTGTGCCAATTTGGCATTTCTCTCTCTCTCTCTCTCTTTCTCTCTCTCTCGCCTGTCATTCACTGGTCTTGTGTGACTTCTACATGCATTACTGCTGCCGACAACTACATGCACGTAGCGGTTCCTCGCAGGTCTATTTCAAGTAACCGGCTATTTAAAAACGATAAAATATTCTTTATTCATCTTTAGTTCATCAACGGTGATAAATTATCAGAAAGTGCCGCGAGGTGCTGGGGCTCAGTGTCTTCAGCAAGTGTTCCTCTGGCCACCACACACATGCTACGCATACACATGCTCACTGACGACCCATGGTTAGGGTTACAATTTTGAATTTATTTACACACTTTAAAAACATTTATTTAAAGTGTTTTTCTTTTTACATGTTTATTTACAGCATTAAATGATGCTGGATGGTAATTGTCCTTTCTGGTGCACAAATCGAGGAAGAGACAAGCCTGAGCTGTGTTAGGTGAGGGATTGCCCACAAGGTAAACATAAACATTACCGCAGTCGAGCGGCGGCAGGGACCTGCCGCTTTTTGACGATAGAAATGCGGCAGCGGATGCTGTAACATGGATCGGAAGTGCCCAAGTACACTTGCACTTTGTGTTCATATCTTTGTTTTTCTTAAGTTGAGAGGTGATCCAAATAAATGTAACTGCTTTCGCAGCGTCTCTACGGGGGAGTCGCGGTGTGAGCCGCTATGTTGGCCTGTTGTTTTCCCCTCCAGGTACCGCGAATGTCACGTGACTGAAAACTATGAATTGGGGGTCAGCCCTTGGAGAAAATATTTATTTTTAATTATTTTTTCTGTATTTTAGTGAGTGATATAGGGGAGAGCCGGGACGATTGAAACGCGGGACGAATGAAACAGCGATTTTCTTGGAGACCATACACGTCTGATATGCCAAATCAGAGATATCCATAATAAAGGCTAATAAAATTGAGGAAGTTATGGTTATTTAGAAAGTACATGCACCATTTAAACACAATGTTACTAGTGAGCGAGCTGCCTGTGACAAGATGGCCGCCAGGTGGAGACGTTGACCTCCTTTGGCCAGCAGCGCGGACGAGACATCTAGCCTTCATTATGGATATCTAGGCCTATGTGCCAAATTACCTCAGCACATACAGAACACAGTAGGCCTACTTAACAGAACAGGGAAAAATCAGGTGGATACGTCATAATTTCACGGAGTTATACGAAAGAAGCTGTTTTCAATCACGGAAAGTAAATTCACTCAAGCGATCTTTTTTTAAATGACGACTTGTGTTTATTGTTCCATGTGTCATGGTCATGATCACATGAATGATTAGTTAGTATTTTAACACATCCTTAAGTTTTAAATGTCAAAGCTTTACAGTTTAGAAGCTAGAGAAGTTTAAACGTCAGGAGTCACTGTCGGGACGACTGAAACAGGTGTCAAACACGCAGCCATTCCTTATTTAGATACAGCGGGAGGGGGGCAGAGTCCACTTGGCTGCAGGCTGGAGCACCAGGATGCTCACAGCCAAATAACAGGATCTTCACAGTAGACCAGGAAAACAGGCTACAGATGATCATAAAAAGGGCAATAGCAGAATGTGTTTGTCATCGGTTTCATACACCAAAACTTCTAAAAGCAAAAATCCTATCAGAGGGGCAACCAGGGCACTTTTATCAAATGGGGGCCCGCGGTTTAATTTGAGAGAGATTAGTGGTCCATGAAAATGTTTGAGAACCACTGCTCTAGAGATGCATAAATCTGAAGACTGCTGTTTGACCAGTTGTATGGTGCACCTACGCTCTCTTGTGGACAAAATGCAAAGGGATACCAAAAGAGCACATGGTTACAGGTAAACATTATGAAATGAGCAGAACAACTTCCCTGTTGCTCCTCTTCATCTATTGCATGATCATCAATAATTACATCTAAATATGACAGTTGAAGTGAGACAAAAAGCTGGCATTCACTCAAAGTTTATTAAATACACATTGTAAAATAAAACTCTGTTACGATCCTTAGCTTATTAGGCTATAGCATGTGCATGTCTGCAAAGAAGCAGATGTGGAGGCTGGGTAAAGGCTGTATGTCCATGGTGATGAGACATCCAACAATCCAAGCAAAGGTTCTCATCCATCACAGTCCTCATGAAGTCTCATAGGTTTCCTCTAAGCTAAGATGCTGTGAGCAGAGTTGATCAGAACCTGACAGCAGCGTTTTGTATTGCCCAGGGAAGGGCACAGTTTTAGCTGCAACTAGTGATTTCTAAACATTTTTCAACTTTAATACCAGACTTATTGTTCTGACATTGACCTTAGCAGTTTGATTACTTTTCCTCTACAGTAAGCCCTTACCTGGTATCATTTTAGGAATTTTTGATCAAATTCCATACAAACATGTTTTACACTGAATATGTGTCCTGAGCTTCGTCATCACGTGATCTAAATGCTGTTTCAGATGAATTTTCATCCTGCCAAAGATATAATTCTTATGGACACACTGGTTTACACAATCCAATTGAAACATTGTTAATGTCACCCCAAAATATTGCTTACTACTAGCACAGTCAATCCAAAAAGAATGAATTTGGTTTTCAGCCGTCATTAATCGATACTGGTTGAGTTCTGGTATGAACTCTTTGAGAAACAGCCTTGCATGGCATAAAAAAAATGTTTGATCTCAAAACCTATTCCTTCTAAACTGCACTGCCGTCAACATGTTTGACAATTGTTTCTTACATCCTTCATCTTGAGTTGCAGCATGGCCTTTTCTTTCTATTTCGTCGCGTGATGCGGCTGTGAACAATTATTTGGCTACACTTAGTGTACCAAGTGTTGGTCCATCTCGGTGAAAGGTTGTCTAGCGGAATGTAATGTTCAAAACACTGACAAGTCAGGCAAAGGTCTGAACAAAAGTTTGTTTGGAGTATGAAACCTGCATGTGCAATGTTTTGAAACATTTTTGTCTGTGAAGTGTCAGTAATTTGTTGGACAACAAATGCATTGCGATGATTTCTATGCACACGTTGCTTATTCTGGCAGACACATCCTGTATTCATTGAGAAAATATTGCTTCCAAAATCAACATGTAGTTAATTAGCTGGGCTATAACTGCTGTTCAGACCTACAGCATGTACAGTACTTTCAAGGCTTACAAAAATCTAGTAAATCAAGTGATCTATCCCTTTACAAAAATATCACTGACACAAGGCGATCTTCTTCCACTCATCCAGGTGGCATAATTTGACAATTGTGTAGGATCTCAATCTTACCATTGAACTGCCCCATTGCTTAAATCCAGTAAATTATTGCTGCCAAGAATATACATTTTATGAATAGAATTCTAAATTATAAAAACGTAAAACAGAAGTGCAATAAAACACAAAAAAAACAGATTTCCTTTTTTTTAAACATCCAACTAACATCATGCGTAGTGTTTTTCTGTCAAACACAAATTTTTAACGTTATTAAAAAAATTCAACAAATGGATGAAAAAGTATCTGAAGCACTTCTTCTGGCGCTCTTTCTTAAGGCGGTTTCAGCCTTTGACACTACTCATACTGATAACAGTTTGACACATTTGGCCAGCTGTGATCACAGCTGCTTTAACTAATCTATTAGTTAACTTTAAGTGGAAAAGAAATTTGCATATGCCCCCAAATATTAATGCAATATAGGTTATCAGAAGACTAAGAAATAACTCTCCCTGCACACTTTACTGTAATGCAGAGAGTATTAAAGAGTTAGGTGAGTGTGGGATGGTGCTCCTGATTCATTAGGGAGCTTTAAAAATATTAAAGCCTGTCCCATAATCCTGTAGGCCACAGCCTATGGCCAGTGTCAGTTATGTCTTACCAGTGCACAAGTTCCTAACTGTGCTCCTGAGAGTCAAGTGTGTACATCCCTGAAAGACATACAGTATGGACACATTTCAAATTACACCTCATGATGCAAAGCAGCAACACAATCTGTTTTTTAAAAATTAAAACAAAAGGACACACAGTGAAAAAAAGTTGCCAGTTCTTCTGAGATGTCACACTGTGATTGAAGTGGCAATTTTTAATTCACTTCCTTCAGCAGCCTGCTAATAGATCTTGCGCAGCCCAGGTAACTGCTCAGTGTAAAGTGTATCTGAACTGGTTGCAATGCAGACGACCTGAATCATCCTCCACATCTCTGGTACGTCCGTTTTTCATCCACATGGAAAAAAGCTGTCTCTTTCCACTAGCAACACATCGTGGTTCCTTTTTATCTTTAATTGTGTCCAAAGTGGGCAACAAAGATGCCAGTGCTAACCCCATGGTGTCCGACTGCAGTCAATTGCTTTTAGAATGGCAAGAGACTGACAGTCGATCCAGTGCAGAGTGCTCTTCCTGCGCGACAGATGCAGGCCTGAATCTCTCTTCCTCAGGCTACCTTCTTTTGAGCCGAGGCAACCTGGAGACACGTGACACATAAGTGTTACAGCAGGTCATCCCCAAAACATTTCTTATAGCTCATGTTAAAACACAACATTAAAAAAGGGTGAGTTTTGTGGATAAAAACTGTGTTTAGGATCACAAGAATAACACCTCTTATTTGCATCAGTTGCCCTGTGAGGTAATCACTGGGTCCAATAGCACCTAACGTTTTATTCTCAGCATCTCATTCTGAGCATGAAACAGACACAACACCCAAAACACAGAATAGTGTGTGCGCTCTGCTTACTTTTCCACTGATATGTCTGAGAAAAAGGCAGAAAGAGCATCAGAGATTGTTGACACTGGTCCAGTCTGCCCTGGACCGCTGCATCACCACCACTTACAGTGCATTCAGAAGGTTTTCAGACCCCTGCACTTTTTGCACACTTTGTTACTTTGCAGCCTAATGACAAAACTATGTTTATAAAAAAAAGAATGACAAAGCAAAAACAGGACTTTTGATTTTGCAAATGTGTTTAAAAGAAAAACCTGAAATATTAACAGAACTCAGTACTTAGCTGAAATACCTTTGGTAGCATACAGCCTCGAGTCCATTGGGATGGTATTGCACAGGTGATGAGTGGTGTCTGGTTTCCGCCTGACATGTTGCTCAGAACAGAGGCCAAGAAGTTCACTCTTGGTTCCATACCAGAGAATCTCGTTTCTCACAGTCTGAGAGTCAGTTAGGTGTTTCTTTGCAAACTCTAAGCAGGCGTTCATGCATCTTCCACTGAGGAGAAACTTCTGTCTGGCCAACTGCCATTAAGTCCAGATCAGTAGAGTGTTGCAGTGATGGTTGTCCTGGAAGTTTCTCCCATCTCCATACAGGATCTCTGGAGCTCAGCCAGGGGGACCACAGAGTTCGTGGTCCCATCTCTTGTCAAGGCCTCACCTGATTGTTTAGTTTGGCCGGGCAGTCAGCTCTATGAAGGTTCTTCCATTTAAGAATTATGGAAGCCCCTGGCCCCTTGGAAACCTACAACACAGCAGAAGGTATTTTTTAGTCTTCCCCAGATTTGTGTATCAACACAATCCTGTCTCTGAGCTCTGCAGACAGTTTCTTGGCAGACGTCATGTGCATTGTCAGCTGTGCGTACCTTTCCAAATCGTATCCAATGAATTGAATTTTCAACAGGTGGACTCCAATCAAGGTGTAGTAACATCTCAAAGATGATCAAGAGAAATGGGAGAAACCTGAGCTAAACTGCATTATAGCAAAGGGTCTGAATAATTAGTCAGTGTTATCAGTTTTTTTCCCCTTTAGTAAATTTGCTAAAATGTGTAAAATCCTGTTTTCTCTTTGTGATTCTGGGGTATTGAGTGCAGATTAATGAGGGGGAAATTAATGTAAACGATTTTAGCATAAGGCTGCAAAATAACAAAATGTAAAGAAATAAAGTGCAGGTGTCTCAATACTTTCTGAATGAACTGTACATTTATTTTTCGCACTGTCACTCAAGATACCCCTCAAACACATCCAGCTCTGTGTCCGCGTCATAGGGCACAGAGGCCGGGTCGGACAGTACCCCGAGGTCCACCAGCGCCTGGTCCATGTCCTCAGGCAGAAATACTATCCCCACATTCAGGACGATGTACTCCATCAGAAAGGCATAGTAGAGGATCAGGACGTTCACAAAGAACAGGCCCAGATAAAACATATATGGAAGTTCGTCCAACAGAGATTCTACCGAATCTAGCTGGGCATAAATTGGGTGTGTCATAGAAAAGAAAGGAAGCCACGGTTTGGGTCCTTGCGTTTGTGCGGGGCCAGGATGTGGCAGACTGGAGTCGCTGGTGTCACCGCTAGAAATCTTTCTGGGGTGATGGAGCTGGGGCGTCCATTTCGGCTAGTCCCGTCCTGCAAAGAGTGACTGAGAGGCAGCTTGTAAGTGCTACTTTATCTGTAAGGTCCAGAAGGAAACAGCAGCACAGGTCGACATAAGGGAATAACGTTCATAGCTAATAATAACCGGCAGACAGTATCAAAATATCACGTTAGCTAGCTCGACGCATTCTTAACATTGGTTCTTTGGGTTTGCGGAATTCACGCCATGCCACTTGGCCAGGGCTAAAAACAGTAGCACGCAATGCTAGTGAAAACAAAGGCGAACATTTCTACAAGCAAAGTATTAGGCGTTTTCTTGCGTAACGTTACACATCCGTACCGGGGAAATTCGAAACACTCACGAACATACGCTTCTGCCGATGTTTTTACAGGTAAATGCCCTCTCTAATATTTTTGCCAACTGCATCAAAACAGTCCTCCTCACCACAAAGGGACACCCGAGGCCACGGCAGTTGATTGGCTCACCGTATGACAGGCTCTGCTGTGATTGGTCTTTACGGTGTCAGTCAGTTTAATGGCCCCCTCGCGAGGACGTGTCGCGTGCTTTAATCGTCACTGCAAACATGGGAAGAGAGTGTTGTAGTTTTCTTCCCCACGCTCTTGTATGCTGTGTCAAGTGTCCACAGTAGGGAGGGAACAGCAACTCCCAGACAAACCATCCGCCTGCTCTGTTACGTAATGACCGCTGAGCGCAGCTATCGCCGCCTATCACCTTCTGTTTGCTAAGAAGCTATCTGTAAAGGAAAGTGGGTGTAATGGATAGATGCGGACGCTATCCTTAGCAAAATAACGCGCCTGGCAAAACATCACCTCCGTTACAACTGCAGCCATGTTTGGCCGGTCACGGAGCTGGGTTGGAGGACAGGGGAAAGCGAAAAACATCCACTCCTTGGACCATTTGAAGTAAGTAGCTAGCATTCGTTATGCTAACGTTAGCATGTATCATAACCGACTGAGAATGACTGTCCGTGTTATCAGTAGCCCAGTTGTTAACAGCTAAAATAATAGTAGCTAACTAACTGCAGATGTCCAGTCAGCTAATAAAGTCCATACCGTTTCTGTTGTGCTTGGCATGGGAGGTAGAAATGTTAGCTAGCTTGTAATGGTTAGCATTAAAGTGAAAATCCACCCTAAAACAGAAATGACACTGTAATGTTAATCTTCTAATGGGTTTGGACGGTAAAGTCAGTAACGTTATGGAACATCGAACATTAACTGGCCACATAAGCTGAAAATAGAAGTGTCAAGACTTATAGAGCCCGCACAGATGTTTTTTCTAGGTGGTCCAGGAAAGACCTCTGCTCAGGTTTAAGTAGGGAGGGAGCTATGCTTGGAGTTACTGAGTAACTGATGTCACCAAAGCCTATGGCAAAACCTAAAGTTGTCCCACAACAAGAAGAGCAGCAAATTAACCAGTATGAGGGAGATATCAGTCGAGCTCAGTCTGGGCACACCCATAGAGTCCTGAGAAGAGTTTCTAATGAGGCACAATAATTGTAAACACCTGTGAGGATGTTAAGTGCATGGGGCTTTAATTTGGTGGTTATTACATTACACTATTTTGGAGAAGTTCCATTATTAAGTTAGAGGCTATTTTTGTGGGCTCGTAGCAATGAATTTTTTGTTTTACATCCAGAAGAGATTCATTTGAACATAGGGTTCAAAGCAGACATATCTCTATCACCACTGGAGCTGTCAATGTCCCATGTTGTTTCATGATTCTGCCCTGTGGAGCAGCTTCCAGACACATCTCTAGATCACTGCAGCCTGTCTTGCTGCTGTTAAGTTTAAAGAAAAATTTGTACATATTGACAAATTAAAACTGAGATGTGCATTCACCACATTGTTCCCTGCATATACCACCCATTCATCTCTCAGATACATGTACCATGTCCTGACCAAAAACACCACAGTGACAGACCACAACCGAAACCTTCTAGTGGAGACCATCCGCTCCATCACAGAGATCCTCATCTGGGGGGACCAGAATGACAGCTCTGTGTTTGAGTAAGTACGAGTTAACATCTTTATGCCAAATCCCTCCCCATAGTAGCTCCAAATATGCAGACGTGACTGCTGCATGGGAATCGAAGTGACATTTGCTTGTATTTGAATAATCTCTATTCAAAAAGATTTGCTAATTGTGCACACTCTTGTATAACCTCACACTGATGCGTTTGAACAGATGCACACTTGTAAACAAATGAACTGTGAATTTTCAAAGAGCATCTTGATGTCAGTCATGGAAGATTCCTCTTCATCGCTTCTTTACTAGTCATGTTTTATCACCTGATCTGGAGGTGTTTCAAAAGGCAAACAACATAACAAACATATCAGGATAATCATACTCCAATTTACACTCATAGGAAATTTAAGACTCCCACCCCCATTCTTCCCGTATAGCAGCATTGTCAACAACCGAACTCCCATTATTTCTGACTGTGAACAATTCAAAACAAATTAAAACTGTTTTTGTATCTCAGACATTGCTGATTTTCTTCCTGTTATGCTGGCTCTCCACAAAGTGGTAACATTTGACTAGAGAAAACGTATTTTACAAAAAGCAGTAGTAATGTTTGCATTTTGTAAGCCCTTGGCAAATTTATGTTCGGCTGAGCTAGCAATAGACAACCACTTATATGTGTGTATTTCATGTAGTTAAGATGCAGTTAAACATTGCAGGAAATTGTTCTTGGAAGTCTTTTCACCCCAAACCACTTACATATTGCACTTGTTTCTGGGGACTGCTACATGTCAACGCCTCTATCAGTCCACTTCGCCACATCTTCATTATGTGATACAGGAAATGGCTTTGAAGAGCAGAAAAGCCACACAGGATGTTGAAAGTGCAGGATGTTGAAACTTTCTGCTATCAGGAAGCCCTTAGAATAAATGACATGAACAGTGCATGAAGGGTCACCCATAATTTTCGAGGCTTGAAGCTGTTCGGTATTTTGTAGTCATTGGCTGTATAAATGTGCAGCTTTTTTAGTAATAGTTAAACATTATGAGAATGATCTTCATATGATCTGGTCCAGTGAACATTAGCTTGAAATGATAAACTGCAAGGTTTCTTAGGGTGGTATGAGCTGTATGTGAGTAAAAGACATCAGCATAATGCAGCACAGAAATTAAGGTTGAACATTTTTTGCATATTGCTTTTATTAGATTGTAACAGTATAGATACAGATAGGAAACAAAGGAAGAGAGAAGGGTATAAATGCAACTGCCAGAATCAGATCAGGGATGTTGTGGGTGTATGGTTTGCTTCTTAACCACTAGTCCAGGATGCTGCAAAAGAGAAACAATCTTCTTTTTGATAATTATATATCAGATTAAGTCATCATGAATTAAATCCTTTGTGTGTTTGTGTGTACACTGCTGTGTATGTTCAGCTTCTTCTTGGAGAAGAACATGTTTGCCTTCTTTCTGAACATCCTACGTCAGAAGTCAGGACGCTACGTGTGCGTCCAGCTCCTCCAGACCCTCAACATACTATTTGAGAATATCAGCCACGAGACTTCCCTGTGTAAGTATTTGAATCAACACCGGCTGAAAATATAGGATCACATATATGATTTAATGCGTAGAGCTGGGCAGTAAAACAATAATAATTATCACAATATAATTTTCCTCAAAACAATATAACCAATGTTTAATGAATGTTCAATAAGTGTTTGACTTAATTTATTTGAATCATGAATTTATTGTCACTTCATTTTTCCATCTATTTATCACAATTGTTTAGAATTTTCTATCTCAGATTTGTTAAGTGATCCACTGTTTGACATCAGTTGTTGTCAGACGTTTAACCACATAACTAACCATCTGGTTTCTTAAATTTTCACTCAGGAGCAAAAATCTGACTTTAAACTTCAAAGAAATAATGATTTGACATATATTGTGATAATTATCGATATCGAGTGATATGAAATGTTTTTATCGTGATAACATTTTTGGGCATATCGCCCAGCCCTAAATAAGAGTAAAGGATGACAGTGACTTATCAGGAGTTAGCAAAAATAATACAAGCTGAGCTAATAATGGATTACTGAATGTAATGTGATGTAATGAGTGTACTGAGCAAATATTTACTTTCTAGTCTGTTGTCCTAATGGCAGATAATATCACTGTGAGATGCTTGAAATTCTTTCACTACAGGTTGATGTAAATAATGAACAGATTGAAAATTAGAGAATAGCGTAAAACCTTTAAGCTTGAAAGAAATAATGGTTTGACATTTATTAAAATTGAATGATATGAACATTTTCATCATAACATTTGTGGCCGTATTGCCTAACTCTAGTAATGCATTGCAATAAAATAATACATTTCTTCAATTTTAATTTTTAATTTTTTGAGACTGCTGAAAAATGTTTAGTCTGAATCTGAATTGAAAGTGAGCAGTGACATACACCGATTGTACTTATTACAGGACTGTTGTATTGAATTGCCTTGAAATGTACAGCTCGTAGATGTGTCCATGTTTTTGATGGATATTGTAGGCTTAACAATGCAGGGCATTGCCTTTCTTTCTCTACAATGCATAGGAGCCTGCCACATTTTTTGTTGTTGCTAGGCAACCAAAGACTCAGCTGGTGATATGCTGTCATTTATGCAGCTGGTTGGCATCTTTGTATGAAGTAAGTAAGGTTTGCACTTTGGTAACTTGTGGCGGTATTAAAAAAATCAAGAGTTGTGGAATTGTGACAAAACAAATAGTCTTTTCTCATGTTCGCTGCACACAATAGTCACTGCAGTAGTAGTGATCTGATGATAGGAGAGCAAAAATGAAAGTAGTGTAGTGAAGCTAAGAGGGTACGGTTGTCAGCAGTTCACAAAAAAAACATCTTCCTAAAACATTTGCTCGGTGAACAAGGCTGAGCTTGTTTCTCTTCATTTGTCAGATTACCTCTTGTCGAACAACCACGTGAACTCCATCATCGTCCACAAGTTTGACTTCTCGGACGAGGAGATTATGGCCTACTATATCTCCTTCCTCAAGACCCTGTCGCTCAAACTCAACAACCACACCGTGCACTTCTTCTACAATGAGGTGAGGCCATAGACAGATGAGATGGGATGGGTTGAGGATTTTTTATTCGATGTCAACAACTTTTTGTGCACTCTCTTTGAAAGAGGAACGACTGAATAGACAAAAGATGAGTGGTTGAGTTTGAGGTACACAGAGAGCGAAAAATGACAGCATGCTTAAATTTTGCAATTTTATTACTGGTGATATTTTAAAGAGTCAGTCAGTCAGTTAATTTGTACAAAAATGAATAAAATAAAAACATTTTTAAAAATTTTTGTCAACCTGTGTTTGGACTTCAGGTGACTTCTATCCACCAATCTTCAGCAGCATACTTCCCTACCTACATTTGATGGAATGTTTAATATATTATAGTCATGCTAAAGAATGATCACAGTGTTTGCAACAATATCTTGTTCCTCTGAAATTGAGTTTCAAAACAGTTGTTATTCTTTATGTAAAAATATTCATCGAATATTATTGAACAGTTCAGAGTTCAGGTCTTTTGTCAGAATCAGAAGAATCAGAAGGAGCTTTATTGCCAACTAGTGTTTTACACATAAAAGAAATTTGCTTTGGTGTTAAGATGCTACACGCAGACATACAGCTGACATAAATAGATGTAGAAATATATAAATATGTAATAAACAAATGCAAGTTATATAAGAATATAGAATAGTTGTGTGTCTGTGTTTGTGTGTCTGTGGTAATAGATGATAAAACCAAAGAATACTGTCCACCTGAATAATCTCTGAAGATGTTGTTTACCTGTCATTGTTTCAGCAGTAGCTTTAATCCTTCCACTGGCCTGTGTGTGCTGGGGAAAGTTATTGGTGTACTGTTGCTGGTAGATTTACCCCTGAAGCCAAAACCACACCCAGTGTGTAGATCTGAGAGTACTTATATATGTGGTTAAGTAACCTATAATAGATTTATTTATTTTAGCTTAATTTTACTTTCTGAAATTATTTAGAAATAAACAATAAATATAAACCCTACCTCTTTGGAATGCAAAGGAAGACTTTTTTTGTTTCTGGATGTAGCGTTGTAAGCAACTCGGCTGACATCTGGTCAGTGTGAAAGCAATTTTTACTATTTACAATTGTCTTATTTATAATTAACCTCTCACTTTATTTATTGTAATTAATCTATCATTTATTGATTTGTAGTTTATCCTCCTCCAGAGGGCGCTATAGGATAGCTGATTACTTTGGCCTCTGCTGTTGCTGTCAGATATACACACGTGACACTATTAAGAGCAGATCATGGCACACTCCTGGCTTGGGTTTGGTGTCAGCTTTCTTCATTTGCTATGACCACTGGGTGACTGCTCTCTGACACTCACCTGTGATTGGCTGGCGGTCACAGTGACTGAGGGATGTTTGGGTAGAGGATCACACACTGGCACAGAGAGAGATGACTGTAAGATGATGAGCTGCTGGTTTTTTTATACACATTTATACTAAGCGCAACATGCTGTTATGTTAATCGGTGTTGACCGTCTAAAATACTGTTAGTCCCGTTAGATTGTGAGGAGGAAACGTCTCTTTAGTACAATTTGTACTTGAGTGTCTATCATGTTTCAGGATGGGTCAAAAACATTCATGTCAAAAGCTTACAGTGTTCTTTTGCCTAATGCTAATCTTCCATCCAATATAGCATCTCCTTCTTTAGGATCATGCTTACTCTTACAGTAACTCTGTGACACCTTGAAATAACTTTGACTTTTTTGAAATTGCACAGCCTGTATGTCTGAAAAAAAGTAATGCGCAGATTAAAATTTATAGAACATTTTCTCAGTTAAATAGGAACTAAATACCAGTTTGCTCTTTTCATGAAGTCCTTTCTTATCAAAATGCAGTACTGCCCAGAATTTCTGTGTCCGCCAGTTGCTTTCTCTCTGTCTCTCTCTCTGTGGTCGTCTGTGGCCTGAGCACGGCGGTGCAATGCCGTGCCTTGCTCACCGGCGCCCCCTCTCTGTCTCCCACACACAGCACACTAATGACTTTGCCCTGTACACCGAGGCCATTAAGTTTTTCAACCACCCTGAAAGCATGGTCCGCATCGCAGTCCGCACCATCACACTCAACGTCTACAAAGGTGAGTGCCAATAACGAGCATGCGCACATACTGGCCACACACACACACACACACACACACACACACACACACACACACTCACACACACACACGTGCAAACACGCTCACGGGATGCTGGGACTGCAAACCGCCGTTCTTTGTAATCCTTCCCTCTTCCTGCTGCTGCTTTTGGTGCATGAGCATGACTAACAGGTAACGCTGTAGCAAACACGCACAAATACACAGCCTGCTGAATTTCTGGCCTTAAATGTTTCTTTTCCTTCTTCTGTATGCAATTTATTATCATTGTCGTTTAAAAGAGTGGCTCTCCGGAAGTATGATTGGACACAGTCCTTTATTTTATGAAGTTCTTCAAAAGATCTTGCAATCAAAGAAAATCTGTTCATTATTCACATCAACCTGCTACTAAGGAAAGAATTTCAAGCATCTCACAGTGATACTATCTGCTATTAGGACAAAATAGACTAGAAAGTAATTATTTGCTCAGTGCATCTCTGACAGCTGAAATGGCAGAACTACAGGAACTGTGAAAATACTTAAATCTATATACAGCAGTATCTGACTATAAGGGGAGAAATGAAGGGTTTTATTCCCTATTGTCAAATACTGATTCAAACTATCACTTTTTTCTCATTCTACACATTTGTCATTAAATCACTAACATCTGCAGTTACTTAATTCAGACATTTGCCATTGGTTTTGTTGCAAAAAGTTTACTGCAATGTGCACCGCGTAAGGACATTCAGCATCCAATAAGTCACTGTCATCCTTTACTCTTATTTAGGGCTGGGCGATATGGACAAAATGTTATCACGATAAAAACATTTCATATCAGTAATTATCACGATTTATGTCAAATCATTATTTCTTTCAAATTTAAAGGCTGATTTTTGCTCCTGTGTTAATTATGTGGTTAAACTTTTCTTTATGGTCAGAATGTGACAAACACTGGATCACTTCACAAATCTGAGGTGGAACATTCAAAACTATTATGATAAAAATCTGTTTTCAACAAATATGATTAGTAAATCATTTTCTCAACAAAATTAATATTTTTATTAGAAAAATTAAGTGCTGATTTGCCTGTGATTCAAATTAATTAAACCAAATAGTATATAAATTTAACATTTATTATATTATTGAGGAAAATTATCATTATTACTATCTATCTATCTATATGTATGTATATATGTATGAGATATGTATGTGTGTGTGTATATGTGTATATATATATATATATATATATATATATATATATATATATATATAATGAATTTGAACTTCGCTTGTGATCTACGCCATTGGTGCGGCGTAGCACACAAGGATAAGGTTCAGCATAACTGCTTTCCTGGTCCCACGCGCACATATTTACAAACTAAAAGAAGCTAACTCTTCAGCAAGTCCAGTCTACCCAGCATGCAAAGTTGTGGTTGAAACTCCCTCACTCACAAATCGATTGTGCATACGCATAAGCACTTCAAGTTCAAACTAAATGTCCTATGAGTTCAGGAGCAGCACAGCAGTGATGCTGTGAGTCTGTAAACAATTGGATTTTTGCTAAGGTTGTGTTGCTTTCTTCGCTGTGCTGCGTCCGGCTCTGCTTCTCCTTCCTGCCGTCTCTCTGGGCTCCTCAGGGCTCGGAGCTGGTCTCTCCAGGGGAGGCGGGTGGGACATTAAGCGGGATAGGCTTTTCTCCACACATCATGCCTCTCGTCACTATACATAACATTGCCTCAACATACAGTCACTGAAACATATATCAACAATAGCGTCCTGTCTGTCTCCGTACCTGTTTTGTCTAGTCCTGCGTGTATCCTTTGCATTGTAAAACTGTGACGTCATTACTGTTACCGCACAACTGACTGACTTTAACTATATTAGAAATACTAGTCACTTAAGAAGTAGCGCAGTGGTGTGGGGGATGTATCAGTGATTGGTTGGACATGAGCTTTGCTGTAGTAAAGAATCTGTCAAAGCGGGAAGCATCAACTCAGTGCAGCAACTCTGACTGATGGCTTTTTTCCCCCAACTTCTGAGAAGAACATTTGTATCCTAAAGCACAGGCTGAGACACCGCTGTAATGCAAAATATTCATTGCATTGTGACTTTATGCAGTGAAAGCTGTGGCTTATTGTGGCAAAAAAACTTGCAAATTTAATGACTAATTTTTAGATTAACCCACGACTTAAGGACTTGAAAATGACTGAAAATGGGTCAGAATGAATGAAAACTACTATTGCTTTTAGTATCATAATGTTGAACATTATAGAGCCACTGTTTGATGCTTCCTACTGATTCCTTGGGTCACACACTGCAACAAATGACAACCTGGAAAAGGGTTTTGACCTTACAATAGACGGCGTCAAGATATTTTAGTCATTATGTTACTACAGTGTGAAATCCTAAAAATAAGTGTAAAATGTTTAGGTAACATATAAGCTCCTTTGCCAGATGTGCCATTGTTTGCAGTTTATTAGTTAAAATACCTGCAGGGTCCTTCCCAAACTCCACCCCTCCACAGCTGTCCCTGTACTCACATTAACCCTGTGTCTGTTTCCCCCTCTCCCTGCTCCTCCTTCTCCTCCTCTTCAACAACCACTCCTCCTCCTCTTCCTCTCCTTGTCTCTCTCCTCCTCTCCCTCCTCCCTCTACGCGCCCCATCTGCCTAACTCCAGTTTCATGTAAGTTGGTTCCATTCATTGAGTCTTTTTTTTTTTTTTTAGGGCTGGGTATCCTAGAACCATGTTTTGTTGTTATTTTGTTTTCCCCTTTACTGTTACCAGTTGTTCATACAGTACATTGATGCAGATACAGTTCTAAAAAAAAAAAAGTGTTAAATAATAAACCAATCAGTGCTGTTAATGTGAGACTTGTCTTATATTGATTTTAATGCCTCAAATATAAAATGTTTGGTTGATTTAAAATGAGTTATTATTGCACATTACATGCCATTGTTTGCAGATACCCAGCCCTATTTGTTCCTAATATTGTATCTGTTATAAATGTACTGGTATGAATATCCTTGCAATTGTTGTTCTTGTAAACCATTCTGTATCACCCACCTACACACATGCAGAAAAACTGCATGCCTTTTTTAAATTTCATCTTGGGTTAATTGCTCCACAAACTTAATTTCAGCTCAGCCCCACATGGTGGTTGCCATTTTGGTGATGGGTTTGACAGCTTTTGTCACTCTGGTTATTTAGTCAGTGTCCCCCTCTGCTTTAATTCTCAGTCCATCCACTAATGGACTAAGCTGGAAGCTGGGCACTGTGGCTCTTGAGTAGATGCAGCTTGTGATTAGTCTATTTGTTTTCTGGTGTTTATATAATTCTTTCATTTGATTTGGCTGCTCATTCACTACTTGTCCCAGTTTGACCCATGGCATTGCAAAATTGGCTTTTATTTGAATTTTGACTACTACATGAGAAAGTGTTGCTCCACCAGGACTGTTCACATTTCTAGTCAGTTAAGCTGTCATTCACAGAACAGAAGTATCCTATTCCCTCTGATTGTCTAAATTTTGTTTTCAAAGTGCCCTTTGTGTTAGACAAATGCTCTTATTCCACACAAATTAAACAAAACACAGCTGTCAGGGTTTTCTACTCTGTAGTTTCTATCTAGTAAGAATTTAAGGACGTTTTTAAAATGGACGCTGCAGAACCAGAGATATCGTCTTATATTCCACACATTCTTCTTCCTTGTTAAAACCTGGCAACTACATTACCCACAAAGCAATTCAACTGCACACAGTTCAGTCTGAGATTTGAGTGAAATCCACTTCTCCACAACCTCAGATTGTTGTGTGTTCTCACTTGTAGTCTTCCGCCCAAACCGATGCTGACTCGCGTCACATCACTTAAGGTCATTTATCAGACTTCACACAGCGCCTTCTGCAGCCACAAAGGAAAACCTTTTACACATTTGCTGTAGTTCTCCCCAAGACCTGTAAACACATCTTCATGTGTAAAATCTGCAGAGTTCCGGTTTAACATTTGCACACTAATGAACTTACATTTTTTTGTATCATCGCTCAGTGACTAATCTTGTGAATTTCATTACTACTGATACAGAGTTGGACCAAATATGGCTCAGATCTTGCTTTTGTCTAAAGATAGTTCCTCTTAAGAAGGTGTCAAAGTGAGTGTGACATACTCATGAGTGCAGGCTCAGATCACAGGCTCTTCTCTACTCACAGTGCAAATAGCCCAAGTTACACTGTTTCAATTTGAAACTGAACTGGCTTTCATCTTAATCCCACTCAACTGTATTCCCTTTATATTGTATTAACACTTAATTTGCCTTAATGTGGTTGGTTAATTTTCCTCTTATTTTTATTTGAATGGTGTTTTAAAAAAAAAAATCATATTTAACTGTGACATTCTCTTAGTTCTCTGGGATCACAAAGTGTGTGTGCGTATGAATATGTGTGAGTGTTTGTGTGTGTGTGTGTGGGGGGGGGGGGGGATTTCATACCTTTGGGCAGCCTTGGGAACTACCCTAACCCAGATCTTGATCCTCACCTTACTCTCTCCAGTGGACAACCAGCACATGCTGCACTACATCCGTGATAAGACAGCTGTCCCATATTTCAGCAACTTGGTCTGGTTTATTGGCAGCCATGTCATCGAACTGGACAAGTGTGTGCAGACAGATGAAGAGTAAGTGCCATCGGTCTTTCTTAGTGTAATTATCACCGTGGCCTCTAGGGGTCAGGCCTGTCTCTGGTTTTTGACCACTTTCACTACCTAAGTAACATCCCACTCTCTTTGTTGTGTCCCAGACATAAGAACAGAGGAAAGTTAAGTGACCTGGTAGCAGAGCACCTTGACCACCTCCACTACTTGAACGATATCCTCATCATCAACTGTGAATTCCTTAATGACGTTTTGACCGACCACCTCCTCAACCGCCTGTTCCTGCCCCTCTATGTGTACTCTTTGGTTATCCCAGAGACGGTATGTAACCCTGACCTGCATGTCTAAATGGAGCCCTTGTGTCATACACTCACCTAAAGGATTATTAGGAACACCATACTAATACTGTGTTTGACCCCCTTTCGCCTTCAGAACGGCATTGATTCAACAAGGTGCTGAAAGCATTCTTTAGAAATGTTGGCCCATATTGATAGGATAGCATCTTGCAGTTGATGGAGATTTGTGGGATTCACATCCAGGGCACGAAGCTCCCGTTCCACCACATCCCAAAGATGCTCTATTGGGTTGAGATCTGGTGACTGTGGGGGCCATTTTAGTACAGTGAACTCATTGTCATGTTCAAGAAACCAATTTGAAATGATTCGAGCTTTGTGACATGGTGCATTATCCTGCTGGAAGTAGCCATCAGAGGATGGGTACATGGTGGCCATAAAGGGATGGACATGGTCAGAAACAATGCTCAGGTAGGCCGTGGCATTTAAACAATGCCCAGTTGGCACTAAGGGGCCTAAAGTGTGCCAAGAAAACATCCCCCACACCATTACACCACCACCACCAGCCTGCACAGTGGTAACAAGGCATGATGGATCCATGTTCTCATTCTGTTTACGCCAAATTCTGACTCCACCATCTGAATGTCTCAACAGAAATCGAGACTCATCAGACCAGGCAACATTTTTCCAGTCTTCAACTGTCCAATTTTGGTGAGCTCTTGCAAATTGTAGCCTCTTTTTCCTATTTGTAGTGGAGATGAGTGGTACGTGTTGTGGTTTCACAAATGCTTTGCTGCATACCTCGGTTGTAACGAGTGGTTATTTCAGTTAAAGTTGCTCTTCTATCAGCTTGAATCAGTCGGCCCATTCTCCTCTGACCTCCAGCATCAACAAGGCATTTTCGCCCACAGGACTGCCGCACACTGGATGTTTTTCCCTTTTCACACCATTCTTTGTAAACCCTAGAAATGGTTGTGCGTGAAAATCCTGAGCAGATTGTGAAATACTCAGACCGGCCTGTCTGGCACCAACAACCATGCCACGCTCAAAATTGCTTAAATCACCTTTCTTTCCCATTCTGACATTCAGTTTGGAGTTCAGGAGATTATCTTGACCAGGACCACACCCCTAAATGCACTGAAGCAACTGCCATGTGATTGGTTGATTAGATAATTGCATTAATGAGAAATTGAACAGGTGTTCCTAATAATCCTTTAGGTGAGTGTATAAAAGCTGCGTCCTCCATGCATGTCTAAAATACGGTAATGCCAAATTGTTAGCACATGATGTGTTAAAACCTTTTTACAGTGTATGGTTTTAACACATTTGCAAGTATGTGTTTTTCCAGTTAACGTGTTAAAGAACACGTCAGAGAAATGCTGTGTGTGGGTACAGTGTCATCTTGGTTTTTATTTAAATGTGATTTCACCGATGAAACATTTTTTGCCCATTGAAGGCTGCAACTAACAATTATTTTTTAGTGATTAATCTCATCAGTTTTAGCGGGCATTTTTTTTATTATTTGTAGTAGCTTGTTTCACCGTTTTAATTATACTTCATTTACCATGTTCAGTGTCACTCACTTTTTGAATCCGCCTCCTTCAGTTCTCTTCACACTCACAGACCTAACGTACCTCTGCTGCAAACACGTCAGCGTACCATGCTTCTTTCCGTGTGTCTGCTCCGGCGACATCAGTTGTAGGCTACGTTATATAAAGTCGCTTATCTTCTGTACTTTTTTCACTCGCAATTCCGTTCACAGCAGCAGCTGCGCCGCATGCTAAAGAGATGAGTTAATGACGGTAGCTAACAAATGACGTCTGCACTGGTGTGTTCACTGTCGCTTTACCTGGTCCTCTCTTGTAAAATATCCACCGTGTCGGACTTGTAACGTAATGAATGTGTTTTTCTGATAAATGCTACAATGTGTCGCCCAATATACCTGGGCGGCCCGTCAAAGTAAAGCGCATGTGTGGGAAACACTCACTGAACTGTTGTTTTTCTTTTTACAAGCCAGGTCTTCAGCAGTGGCTACCAGCACTGTGTCTCGCTTCGTGTTGTTAGAGAGTTTGTGAGTAGACAGCTGCGTACAGACACAGAGAGGGGCGGGGCTGCACGAGAGAGAGAGAGAGAGAGAGAGAGAGAGAGAGGATCAGACGCTGGCAGGACTTTGCGTAAACATATTAATTAACTCAACATCAAACTATATCTGTATAAATGGTATTGTCTAATTTTATATTTCTTTTTATATTATTTCCATATACCTCATTATACTGATATGCGGCCCAGCCCTAGGTGGTGTGTCCACGTGCTAAAGTGAAGGTCTGAACTACTTAAACATGCTTTGTCTCTCCTCACTCTCTCCAGTTTTATCTCATTATGCATTTCACTAATCCTTCCCTTTCTGCACTAGCTATAGGACTGCTATATGTGTGACCTTGACTGGCCTTTAAATTTTTCTGTTTCTTTAGTCTGAAGAGCGAAAGATCAACCCTCAGGTGTCCCTCTACCTGCTGTCTCAAGTAAGCAAGACACGCACAAACATCAGACGCCACCACCAGCCATCACTAAAGCACCGGTATATTGTAGTTGTGTGGTTGGATGTTGATCCTCCAGTCATGCTGCCTATTTATCCTATAGGTTAATCCCTCAGGATATTTGTTACACATGGAATACGAAATTATGCTCAAAGAGTAAAGTTTATACCGTCCACTTTTGTACATTTTTATGGCAGTTTTGTCCTGTTCTGAATCCCGCTATGGTTGTCTTTTACTTTTGCTTTTGCTTTCCCATGTAAGGTAAACCTGTTCAGTGAACTCCAAAATTTGACTTTGAAATTCAACGTAAGCTGTTCACTTTTATTTGACATGCAGCACAGTTAAAAGAGCAGTATCAAGTCCTCCTACAGGTGTACATCGTTTAAAATACATTTTATGTAGAATTGAGTTATGAACCTTACCTTTCCTTTGCAATGAACGGGTTGTTTTTATAGACGGTTTTGGTTTTTATTGGGTATATCTGTGTGTTTTTACAGGTGTTTCTGATCATCCACTATCAGCCTATGGTCAACGCCCTGGCCGAAGTTATTCTCAATGGAGACCTGTCTGTCTTCACCCCACAGACGGATATACACAGCACGCAGAAGACCATGGTAACACACACACACACACACGCTGTAAGCGCACACTGTACAGACCAACATACAAACCAGAAACACAGTAATGTTCGACACACACACGGCAGATTGTACATTGAGGTACAGTCACACTAGTACATAAACACGCTGGGAGCATACAAACAAGAAATGCACACCAAAGTTGGTGACTGCATGGATACGTGCCCGCACACACATGCACACATACATACATACACAGACAGACTAGAGTTCCAGAAGTTCAGGTTGGTGGTTATGAGATCACAGGGTCATGTGTTTTCTCCGTGATTCAGCCACATCAAGGCAGCAATATGCAAATTACTTACATTGTTTTTCTTCTTTACATTTTTCAAACACACTCTCCCTTTTTTCCGTCTTTTCTCACCTCTAAGCGTTGGATTGAAACGTTCTGTCTGTCTTTGTATGGGCTTTCTCCGAGTATCTCTTGGTATTTACGTCTGTATCTTGGTGTTATTTCCCTTTTTTCTTTTTTTTTTCTTTCTCTATCTCCCCCTTAACTCCCCCTCATCCTCCCCATCCGATTCGCCTCACTATTCTTTTTCTAATTCTCTCTTCCTCCCATTTTTGTCTTCGCCCGTGATTCAGTTTCTCTTCCCTCATACCTCCTTCCCTTTTGTTAATTTTTTTTGACCATCTGTTTTTGAAGCCAGGTGGGTGTGCAGAGGTAGTGAGCGTTTCTGAGAACCCTTGTGGTTATTTTCTTTGCTCAGCGTGTGTCTGTGTGTCTGCGTGTTTGCGCGTGCTAGACCTGTGACTGTTGTAAGAAGCGGCCTACCTTTTCAGTGAATGTGAGTTGAGGTGTGATGTCAGTGTCGGTCTACCACAACAGGAGGCAGCCAGACCCAAACTAGTACCTGTCAGCTATTCATTCAGCAGTGCTATTCTCTTTCTCTGCATTTTGTGGACTTGCCATGCTGTATTTGTGTTGCAATTTTCCAAATATTAGAGCAGCATAGTGTGTATATACGCTCAGGAGGCCACTGAAATGAATGTTCTATCAGATAATTCCCTCAAACAGAATTCAACATGGCCCATAACTCAAATGAAATGTTTTCTATATTTAGGACTCACTTAAGATTTTCTTACTCTGAATAGAAGATTGGTTACTACTTCAGATGGCGGTGTTATTCACTTGCAGTTAACCTGCAGTGGTGTGTGTGTGTGTGTGTGTGTGTGTGTGTGTGTGTTTGTGTCCTTCGTTCATTGCTGGTATGTGCTCATACCTGCATGTTTGCAGACACATTAGGACACCAGCATTTTTTCAGAATGATTTCTTGTGATTGCATGTTGGATTGTAGATGTTAATTGTTTTTGCCACATAAGATAGAGCTGTTGTCGTGTTATGGTTGGATTTATTGTAAATAAACACAGAAAGATGATGCACGGGTTCGGTTTTATGCACGTGGTCAAATGGTCCTTCCTGTTTGTCTGTGATGTGGAAGGAAATTAGGTCTCATGATGGAACACTGACAGAGCTGGCTCACCTAACCTAGATCTCTTTCCTGGAAGAAGTGTTTTTTTCTCTCTCTCTATCTCTTTCTGTGTTTTGCACCCCTGTTTACTTGCAAATGCACCAGTTAGATTCATCATGTCAACATTTGCATGTCTGTACAAGTATCTTTGTTTGAAAAGCACATGCAGCTGTTTTAGTTTTATGCATTCACAAGTATATCTTTGAACTGTAAATGGTGCCCTGTGTGTGTGTGTGTGTGTGTGTGTGTGTGTGTGTGTGTGTGTGTGTGCATGTGCGCCTCACATGCTCTCTGACCTCCATTAATTTCTCAGCATAGGCTCAGAGTGTGAGCAGTTTACCAGAACAGAGTCAGCTAACAGGTGCAATACACACACTGACTAGTCTGTGGTTTATGTCTGACAGAATACACAGAGTGTTTTTAGCAGCAACTACAGTACAATCCTAAGTGCTCCCATGTACCCAGTGAAACAGATAGGTGATACAGGTATCAGTGTTTTTGAAAGTGTGGCTGACTACAAGAAGGATTAAAAAGTATTCTGTGGAAATGAGTAGCTAAGGCTTTAGCACAGGAGTTTTGGTCTAAAACTGGGGCTGACTTAATGTGAAACACAAACCATTAAAAACATTAAAATTTTTAATAGTCACTATTCTGTATTCAATTTCATCATTAGAATCAGTAGTAGTAGTTGTTGTCATTATGAATACACAGTTTTACTGTAAGTCAGTGTTGACATCTTCGTTCAGCATCGTGTCATTTACCAGCTGTTTCCTGTGTGCGTATCTGCATTTTGCTGCAAGTTTGAAGGCTATATGCGAGAATGGGTTCTGGTTCCAGTATGGCTTCACAGAAGTAGCCTCAAAGCCAGTTATAAACTGTGTGTATGTGTGTCAAGTGGTCATTTTTCTTTGAGAGTTTATCAGGGAGGAAGTGGCTTGGGTGTTTTAACTGACTTTGATCAACAAGATAGTGCAAGAAGGATTTACTGTAAGGCTCTGTGTGTGCATGTGTGATAAGATATGGACGTGATCAGTTGTGCAAGTGTGTTTTTGTGTATGCATGTGTTCTCGTGCAAGTTTGTGTGTCTGTTTTTTGCATTTAGGTTGCAGTGATATTGCTTTCTGGAAACGAGACAGTTTCTTCCAAGTATCTAGGCCTCTGAGTGTGTTTAATCCAGAATATCTTTAGCTGACTAAATACATTCATCATACAGCCATTTTCTTTTTCTCACTTGTATATTATCTGCCTGTAGATATTAAAAACCAGGAAGCAAAGTGACCACCACAGCTTTATTTTAACCAAAATCATCTATGAAAGCACTTGATAACAAAATTATTTAATGATCTCCAGAATGAATTCTGACATAATATAACTTGATAAAATAATTACTACTCTGTGGCCTACTCCAGGCATGCAGTCTCTTCCCATCTCACACTCTTGCCTCTGTGATTCCTCTCTGTCCGTCTCCAACACCCCAGGCCAGTGCAGGAGGTGTGCGTCGGTTCGCCAAGCCCCCGGAGTCTCTGGAGCGCTCCCTGGAGCTGTCCCGCCACCGTGGGCGCAAGAGAACTCAGAGGAGGCCAAACTACAAGAACCTGGGCGAGGAGGAGGAGGACGAAAGGACTGGGGGAGGGGGGGGAGGAGGAGGAGGAGGAGGAGGAGGAGGAGGAGAGAGGGAGGAGGGCTGGGACGATGACGGCCGCGGAGGAGAGAGAGGGAGGGAGGCCGAGAGAGAGAGAAGGGAAAAGGTACAGAGGGAGTAGGAGGAGGGAGTTCTAAGGGAAGCAGAGCGAGTGGGGAGACGGCGGAAGGTGAGTGGGTGTCTCGTTGAGATACAGCAGTACAGGACTGTGTTTGTGAGTGTTTCTTTACTCCCATCAATCAGACGCAGTCTCCCATGATGCACCCTGGTTACCCAACAGGCACCACAGCAGCAGCACCTCGTCTCTTAACAGAAAAGAGGGAGACTAACTCTTAAAAAAACAGAATAACTAAAAAGATGATGGCAGCTAAACTTTTACTATAAAAGTGCTCTGTTTTTGTGTGCACATGACTGCTGCCGTCATCTCCATGCATTTCCTGTATTTTGTTTTTTTTGTGCCAAATTCAGATTAGACTATGCAGCCTCATAAGTAGTAAGATAAGCACTTGCATGACTCCTGAAAACAGCAAATGTCAAAAAATGAAAGAGTCAGAAGTTGAGGCAAAAAGACAAAATGCGGGAGAAAAAGAGTAGAAGTGGAAAGACACTAATTTTAATCAGAAATTCCTCTTTGGCTGGTTTTGAGATGAGGCCCTCCCTCTTTCTGCTGCATCCCCCTGTTTGGCACCTCTTAATTACCCCGTGGTTGCCATGGCTTCCACGGATCACATGTCCAATACAACCTCCATGGCAGCCCACAGTCCATATCCACGGTGACACACCATCCATCCTGTGCTCCTCACCTCTCCGCCTGTCTCTCACTCCTCCTCTGTGTGCATGTGTGTATGTTTGTTAGCATCCGTGTGTGTGTGTGTGTGTGTGTGTGTGTGTGTTAAATAAAAGTGTGACCATTTCACTCATCTGAAATGATTCCTTCTTTACTTTTGCTGATAGACTCTTTTTGCAGAGAGTCATTGCAGGACTATACAATCTTTAGGGCTTCTGAGGGCCCATTGCACAGAATTTGACAGCATGGGTTTGTTTTTTTTTAACACAAATGTCATTGTGGGCTGTAGAGGAACGGATAGTTTCAAAATGAGACATGTACCATTTGGGGTGGAAAAAAAACACTTACAACACCTACCCTATTTAACTGATTGATCAGAAAAGTGATAAATAGGATAGACAGGAATGTACATTGATTGAAATATTCCGTACATTTTACATGCTTACGAAAATCAGATATGAAAATCAATATTTTAGTCATAGTTAGCAGACAATGATGGCACGATTGGCCCATCTTCTGCTACTATATTTTTTGAACCGGTGAAGGTCGAGAAGGAAGTATTTTCAGAGTGAACATTCATAATCACTGGTGACTTCAGAGCAATGATGTGTTTGTCAATCTTCACATTTATAGTCACTTCCGTAAGTTAAGTACAAAGCGTGTGTGCACAGAGATCGAGATGGTGGTGATGGAGAAGTGTAAGGTGTCGGAGCTGACGGAGCAGAACATCACCGATGAGGAGAAAACTGCTGCCGCCACCCGCACACACACACAGAGGAGCAGGTACATGTAAACACACATCTGAACACGCTGAACTGTTAGATTCGTCTGATAGTGGAAAGAATAAATAAAAGACAAAAGTGTCTGTGGACTGCTGATATCTTCTCTCTCTCTCTCTCTCTGCAGGCCGTTCTTAGACATGGTGTACAGTGCTCTCGACTGCACCAACGATGACTACCACGCCCTGTTTGTCCTCTGCCTGCTCTATGCCGTCTCACACAGCAAAGGTTGCCCTTTATACTTATTTGGTTGGTTATACTGGCTCATTTAGATATGTTCTGGTACATTAAGTTAACCCGCATCCATATAGGCTGTGCAGAACTTCGTATATTTCTAAAAAAGATTTGTTTCAATATATAGTCCCCTCCAAAAGTACGGTATGGCAAATTCCTTTGTTTTTGTTCACTGAACACATTGGGTTTATGATCATAAAGATGAGTTCAGAATTTCAGCTCTCATTGGAACATGTGACTGTTTCTTGTTGCCCAGGTGTTGCCTTTTAGGTTGATTGTCCAAACATTTAATAGCTCTGCATGACTAGTCTAAATTTTCATCCTATAAAGACTGCATTTCCTGTTAAAGAGGATAAACCAACATCAAGACCAGAGAGTTGTCTATGGGAGAAAAGCAAGCCATTGTGAAATTTGCAAAGAAGTATAGAGATGAGCCGCAAAAGTTCTGCAACACAATCTTATGGACTGATGAGGCCAAGATTATCTCTACCAAAGTGATGGAAAGGCCAAAGTGAGGAGAAAGAAAGGACCTGCTTATGATTCGAAGCATACAAGCTCATCTGTGAAGCATGGTGGAGGTAATGTCATGGCTTGGGCGAGCATGGCTGCTACTGGAACAGGCTCATTAATATTTATTGATGATGTAACTGATGATGGTAGCAGCAGAATGAATTCAGAAGTGTACAGAAACATTTTGTCTGCCAATTTATGGAGAAACCCATTGAAACTAATCGGGAGGAAGTTTATCATGCAGCAGGACAATGAGCCAAAGCACACTGCCAACAAAACAAAGGACTTCATCAGAGGGAAAAAGTAGAAGGTTTTTGACTGGCCAAGTCAATCACATGACCTTAACCCAATAGAGCATGCATTTCACCTGCTTAAGAGGAGACTGAAGGGAGAAACATCCCGAAACAAACAAACTGAAAGAAGCTGCGGTAAAAGCCTGGAATAGCATCACAAATGAAGAATGCAACAGTTTGGTGATGTCAATGGGTCGCAGGCTTGAGCCAGTTATTGCAAGCAAGGCTTATGCCACCAAATATTAAATGTTATTTACTTTAAGATTATTTGTTCCATTACTTTTGCTCACCTAAGAATGCTGTGGTCTAATACAAACTGTGATATGTCCTAAGTTGTTTAACACATCTAGATGTGAATACCAGGAAATAAAAGCTGAAATTGTGAACTCACTCATCTTTTGATCTTAAATAAATGTCTTCAGTGAACAAGGAATTTGCCTTACCATTCCAATACTGTTGGAGGAGACTGTACACTGTTACAATACAATACACACAATTACTATAATAGAGGTGGCCAGTGCAGAATTGGCATGACCCATAGAGTCATAATGGCCACTTTTATGATACAACACGTTGATATTGTTAATTGAGTTGGTGCCTTGCCTCAGATTATTTTGTAGTAGACACAGGACTGAAGTTTACATAATTTTTTAACAAGCCTATACCATCAGTGTTCATGTTTATGCCACCAAATCTCCTGTGCAACTTTTTTTCTTACCTGGTCTGCCTCCCTGCCTGTCCGCCTGGCTGTAGGTATAAACCGAGATCTTTTGGAGCGTTTGCAGTTGCCGGTTCCTGACCAGGAGAAGAGCTCCTACAGCCTGGTGCTGGTAGAGAGACTGATCAGAGTTATGAGCCAGGCAGCACAACCAGGTCTCTCACACACACACACACACACACACACACACACACACACACACACAAACTCATTTTGAATATCTTTAGTTATCTTAATGACCCATACGAGCCAGTCCCTCTGTTGAATTCCCATTACTGAGTATGGCTCTGAATATGAAATTTAAAGCGGTTCCATACACAAACACTATTCTTTTCTTTGGATGTTATTTGCATATTTTCACACTGAACATGCAACCAAAAACAGGTGCTATGAGAAGTTCTATACAAGCGAAAATACGAAATCCATTTCCAAAAAAGTTATACAGATATTTTCCAAACTGTGATTAAAAAAAACCTAAAATCTGGGATTTGTTAATTCACATGAACCTTTATTTAACTGGCAAAAGTACAAAGAAAAGATTTTCTGTAGTTTTACTGACCTTTATAGAAAACTTAAGCTTCTCAACAGTCTGTGGTCACCAGTGTCTGATTTTTCTCTTCATGACGCGCCATACATTTTCAACAGGAGACAGATCTGGTCTGACAGCAGGCCAGTCAAGCACACGCACTCTGGGCCTGATTTACTAAAGGTTTGCGTGAGTAAAAACGTGTGCAAACTTGATATCACCAGCAAATTAGCACTTGAGCTGATCTACTAACTGTGTGCACGCAGAATGATGTCTTTCAAACGTGCAAGATAGCACCTGTTGTTCATTTACTTTTGCGTTTATGAATATACATTTTGGGGCGTAACATGCAAATACATTTATTTACTACAAGAAATGTGATCTACCAAGCCTAAACGTAATTTCAAGTGAGTGCAACAGCTTCTGTATTTAATACGTATGAAAGGAAGGTGCAAACCGCCAAGTGTTGTGCAGAGATGGCTTCTGTTATTGTTGCCAGGAGGAGACGGAGCCGTAATGAAAGAAAACATTGGCCTCATATTTGTCACAGAGTGTGACGGTTTCTTAGGCAGTGCCACCTGAGGCCTTGAAGGTCACGCACATGCATCCAACAGGGGTTTCTGAACTTCACCTTTAGACTTGGATGTTTCCAAATTCCCTGAATCTTTTCACAATATTATGTAGTGTTGACTTTGAAAGACCTAAACCCTCTGCAGTCTTGTATTGAGAATCGTTCACTTTGAACTGACTAACAATTTTCTCATGAATTTTGGCACAAAGGGGTGAGCCACGACCCATCCTTACTTGCAGAGACTGAGCCTTTTGGCGGATGCTACTATTATATCCAATCATGACACCTCACCTGTTACCAATTAGCCTGCTTATTGTCCTCAAAACAGGTGTTACTTGGATATTATATATATCCTGATGTGCACTTTTCAATCATATTTTAATTTTGTCCATTCTTTTGTTAAATGTGTTGCAGGCATGAAACTTTGTTTATATCAACAAAATACATAAAATAATAATAATTGTGCTGGTCTGTAAAACCACTGAAAATCTTTGTACTTTTGTCAGTTAAATAAAGGTTGAAGAAATATCACAGATTTTAGTTTTTATTACATTTTGGAAAATATCCCTACATTTCTGGAAATGGGGTTTGTATATGTAGTAGATGATGCTGTTATTATGCTCAAACCATATGTACATTTAATTTCATACACGTTATAAACACATTTTAGCCCATTAATTAAATATTAACACTAACACTGTACACATTATTCCATGTAAACAATGCTTTGTTTGGCCAATATGGGACTACAGTAAGTTATCCTTGTTTATTAATCATATATTTCTCTTATGTGTAGATGGTAAAGTGCGCCTAGCTACCATGGAGCTGAGCTGCCTCTTATTAAAGCAGTCTGTGCTGTCTGGAAGCCACTGTATAATCAAAGACATCCATCTGGCCTGCCTGGAGGTACAGCATACACAAAATGTACACACTACTCATATACATACAGGCCTGTAAAACCTGTCTCACACACACACACACACACACACACACACACACACACACAGTGTCAGGGATCAGAGGGTCTGAGGTGGAAGGTTGGATCTTGTGTCATCCATAGGTTTTCTTCCAGTGCAGTAAAACAGCCCCTCTACATTTAACATCCTCACAATCTGAAGCTGCGGGGGTTTTCAATGAGTGCTAATTGGTGGTTATGAGCAAGACATATTTCAGCGGATGGTGTATGATTGAAGCTGGACCACCATGATTTCTCTCCCCTAGGACTGTGCCCAAACCTCACATCTCCCCTCATCAACTGCTCTTCCTCTCTCCCTCTCTCTCTCTCGCTACCTGTCTTTGCTTTGCACAGCCATCGATTTTTCTTCCTAGTCTTTCTGGGAAATGTTTTATTTCCTCTTCTCTCACTTCAGGGTAATTCCTCCCCACCCTTTCTTTCACTGCATTCCCCTTTCCTTTCCTCCCAGGACTTACAGGAAGTACTTGTGCTGTTGCTTTTTGGTTTTCAGGATTTCATTTAAAAAAAAAATCTGACTGAATTTAAAAGTGAATTGAAGTCAGTTTAACATCACTGGGGGTTTCTGCTTGAGAAAATTTCCCACCTCTGACATAGGTTAATATTAATGAATAGCCCCTTTCAAATGGGTCAGTGCTCCTTTATCTGAAATGGTAATGCTGAGGGTCTTACCAGGAATCATGATCATTATTTTGCTAAAGTATCTGTCAAGTTGTGACTTCTGGCTTTCTAAAATTCCAGAAAACTTATTATCATGGGGAATTTTTCCTCACCCTGCTAATTCTCTTCCTGCCCTGCAGATATAGATGACTAGTCGTGTTTCTAATCTCTGACAGAAAAGGCAGGCATTTCCAGTTTTAGTTTGTTGAGTGTTAATCACAAACAGATTCACATTGTTCAAGGAAAACCTACTTCCTATCCTTCCTCTAACTCTCTGATTCCTCATATGATTGGGGAAACCAGGGAAGGATTTATTGATGTCAGAGGAAGTGGTTAATGCAGCACAGGAGAAACGGCATCACTAACAGTTACAGTACATTGTGTCAGATTCCTATTAAGTGAGGGATACACTAGAAGTTAATGATGTGAATACCATTTATAGATGTCACCTTTTCTCAGGAACAGCCAGCGTGCAGTGTTTCCCCTAGGGTGGAGTTGAGTGAAGAAAATTTGTGCGCGTAGTATGTCTGGGGGTGGGGCTCTCCCGCAAGAATATTTTACGTTTTCCAATAAAAAAATATGTAACAGCATGTTTTGGGAATCACCCCCTGAGCCTTAATGGCAGGAAAACCCTGTTAATATGACTTCAGAATCATTACAGATACGATTGTTCATGTTTGCCTTTTGTGTCTTTATTTGACAGCTTTTGACATTTATCTGTAGACATTAATATAACAAAATAGGCAACATGAAAAACCACCTCCCTTCTGAGCTGCATTTTATTTGCACATTAAAATACAAAAAGAAACGTCTCCTCATTAGCTTAAAAGGACTAGTTTGCATCACTAATTTGCTTTACTAACCTCAGCTCCTGCAGTCACCACTGTCCTTTCTTTTCCTAACAACCACTTTTTCAGACTCATATGAAAAATAATTTAGAATGAACCAGTCTGTGAACAGGACAGAGCTGTAGGCTACACCAGTTTAGTCTAAGTTTGTAACTGGTGTTCTCAACATTGGAAAAGTAGGTAGTAATAAAATACAGCAACCAGTTACTTTCTATAAATAGAGCTAAGTTACAGCAGCCAAAAGACGCAGCCTACTGTATAAGCTTTCCTGCTACACTGCGCAGTCTGAGGGGAGGGGAGATGTTAGCTAAGTTAGTGCAAACGGGCTTCACTTTTCCACCAGATGGGAAACAACAAACAGACTTTTCTTGGCCTTGAGAAGCTGACACACTGTAACCGACAGAGTACATTTACTGCCAGAATCTAATATTCTGCCGCTCAATCAAACACTTGCTACGCACCTCCCGAATTGGAGTTATGCTGCTCCTATAAAAGCACCTTGAGTGTTACCTTCCTCGCACATTGTGTGAGTGAAAATAAGTAGCGCACTGATATAATAATGATTGTGGGAACTTTTTGTGGCGGCAGTCACAATTCAGCAGTGGCGCACCGCCGCTCCTGAACTCATAAGGGAAACACTGGTGTGGGTTCGTCAAATATTGCAGTCATTGGGTAATTTTGCTTTTTTATATCCAACACGATTTCTGGCAGTTTGTTTCTTAACTTTGTTTGACCTTTTACACATTAGTTGAAGTTTGTATTTCTGTGTGTGTGTGTCACGTGACTGATGGTTGATACTGTTCATACTTAATGTTTTTTGTTTGCAGGGTGCTAGGGAAGAAAGTCTGCATTTACTGCGGAGATTCTACAAGGTGAGTGTACACAGCAACACACCAGCGCACACTCTTTAGGATAACCAGACATTTACCTGGCCAGTGGTCGCACACACATGCACCACTAACCTACAGAAATAAGCGCTTCTCTCACTAAGGGGAAGACAACTAAAGCCACAAGTGGGATTTGAAAACACACACAGACACATAGACTGACTTTGTCTAACAAATTATATTGATGCAATATATTTCACTGTTGCTGACTGCTGTAACACAGTAAGATTTCAGCTAACAGTCACACCATGAAAAACTTTAGCTGTTCTGGCTGCTCAGACAGAGACTGCTGCTGGGACTGGGCTAATGCACAGAAAGGTACTTTAGGTAGGGTAACAAAAGAACAAAGCCAGACAGGCCCAACAGCCAGTTTAAAATTAGTTCTTCTTGTGAACCTTGTCACGAACAAAAGCTGAATCTCAATCTACCTGTTAAGTCCCTATTGTCTAACACATGTAGGAGTGTGCGTGAGTGAGTGTATCCACTGATTATAACTGAAACCATTTCCCTGAAGGTTTAGTAATAGGTAAAACTGAAAGTGTTTCCCATGTGTACTATACAAAGTATAAATATAGATATATTTACACAAGTAGGCAAAACGCATCCAGTGCTTTCTGTTTCTCTTTGAGTATCTTTGGATATCAGTTTTGGAATCAGTCACAGGAGTTCAGTTGGACTGACTTTTGCACCATTAAAACACGCGGATCATCAAGGCCCAGACAGGCAGAAAAGATGTACAGTATTCAGGAAATTGTCACTGCCATCAACACTCCAAACATAACCATTGAATAGAGGCTTCCTGTATGTAAGGTATATTTTGATTAAATAATGAAATGATAAGTCTGCATCTGATTAAATTAATCTGACATGAAGCAGGAGAAAACACTGGATGTTATAAAAAAATATATATATAAATATCTTAAGCACTTCCTATTATAAATAATGTTGATCTTTACTCAATTAATTTGTTTTTCATTCCTTTTAGTACCACATTCATCAATTCTCTGTGCTCAACTGTTCGTGTCCAAACAACTTGTCTTATCTGTCCAGCATTTCCTGTTTTGGTTCACAACATAATTTTGCCTATGGGATGTCACTTAAGAATTCCTCTCCCTCCATATTTATTTACTTGTGCTGGAACACACAGCAGATGAACAGGGTCTGTGCCCATAGCTGGCAGTATCACGTTTGAGAGAAGCGGGACAGCGGTAGTTTCACATCCCCAGATAAGAAAATGTAACAGAAGAATGTGGTTCCGCTGGTCAGCTACCTGCATCTAGAAATGTGACAATGAGCACAAACAAAGCTCATGTTCTACGTTATGCCCACAGAAATAATGATAATAATCAGAAAGTGCCGTTAGAGTGTGTATACCTCTAAACACTGTTTTTACACTCTGCACGCACAGACAATGAGTCAGCTGAGTATATGACATTAACATGGGATATGACCAAGAGATAACATGAAAGACGGAATGTGGGCATGTGATGATGTTTTCAGGACACGGCTGTAGCTTGTTAAATACAGTAATATCAGAGTTTTAATTATAGAGAATTTATAAATGCATGCAGTAAGGTCCTTCTTCCTACTGGCCTTACTTGCCTCTTTCCCAGGAGATTCCCATTTTTCATTGTCCCCGGTTCTCTCTCCGGGGGCCACAGTTCTCCCGTATTTATGACAAATGTTCACAACTTTTTGTCCTTTTCAGTATCAGAATCAGGCACTGTACACCCCACGGACAACAAAACAGCTGCTCCCCTCATCGCCTAGGGGGACCTTTTTGTTGCATGTCATTGCCCATATCTCAGTTTCTGTTTTGTCTCTATCTCTACTGTCACTATCAAATAAAAAAAGCAGATGCACCAAACAAACAAATAAAACATGAAACATTCCATTGTGGCTTACAACATATAACCGCGTGTATTGGGTTTTACAGTTGAGTAGCAACTGCTTTGGCACTGTTCCAGCATGATGCCAAAACAAGAAAATGAGAAGAGGAGTTGGTATGCACAAACGATAATTAAGATGTGTTTATAACTGATGAGGATGTAGAGCTGTATAACTAGACACAAAATATGCATTTCTGCTTTTATGCAATTACAGTTTTTATTGTGTGAATGCATGTGGCTTTTCGAGAGCTGAGTTATGCTTCATGCAAAAAGGCGATGAAAGTCAGTATTAAAGTCCATCCTGAATGTCCGTCAATTTTTCCACGCATTCCCATCTGTCTTATTTTTAACCGGCATCCAATTTTTTATTGTGTCATCACAGGGCGAGGAGATCTTTCTGGACATGTTTGAAGATGAATACAGGAGCATGACGGTTAGTTGACCTTTAGTTGGTGACACGTTTGCTTTGGGGGGGGGGGGGGGGGTTGTTGCCCCTCCATGATTTCCTTGGTGTTGCTGATGTATGTGCCGGTGCTGTACGTGGGTTTGTCTCTACTCGTGCCTGTGTGTTATGTTGCAGAGTAAACCTCTTAATGTGGAGTATCTAATGATGGATGCCTCAATACTGCTGCCGCCCACTGGCACCCCTCTGACTGGCATCGACTTCGTCAAGAGACTGCCCTGTGGAGACGTAGAGAAGACACGCAGGGTGCGTCCACACACACACAGACAGACTGACAGACAGACACAGAGAGACAGACAAACAGACAGAGAGACACACACACAGAGACAGACAGAGAGACAGACAAACAGACAGAGAGACACACACACACACACACACACAGACAGAGAGACAGACAGACAGACAGACAGACAGAGAGACACACACACAGAGAGACATACACACACACAGACACACACACACACACACAGAGACACACACACAGAGAGACACACACACACACAGAGACACACACACACACAGAGAGAGAGAGACACACACACACACACACAGAGACACACACACACACACAGAGAGAGAGAGACACACACACACACACACAGAGAGAGACACACACACACACACACACAGAGAGAGACACACACACACACACACAGAGAGAGACACACACACACACAGAGAGAGACACACACACACAGAGAGAGAGACACACACACACACAGAGAGAGAGACACACACACACACAGAGAGAGAGACACACACACACACACAGAGAGAGACACACACACACACAGAGACACACAGACACACACACACACACACACAGAGACACACAGACAGAGAGAGAGACACAGACAGACAGAGAGAGAGACACAGGCAGGCAGACAGACAGACAGAGACACACACACACAGAGACACACACACACACACAGACACACACACACAGAGACACACAGACAGAGAGAGAGACACAGACAGACAGAGAGAGAGAGACACAGGCAGGCAGACAGACAGACAGAGACACACACACACACAGAGACACACACACACAGAGAGACACACACACACACAGAGACAAAACAGGTTGTGAGATTCCTGGGAATCCATGTGTTGTGTCCTATTTAGGCCTTGGGACATGTAATCAACCAAGTGGATTTTAATAGTTGACATTTTAAAGTACCTGTGTGGGGTTGCAACACCCTTGTCACAAATGACAGTGGCATCACTACAAAGCTCAGATTTTGCATTCACTGCCATATTTGGTATCTTCTTTATTATTCTTGTACATTTTTTATACTGTGTTAATTTAATATTTTAAAATGTATATATTTCATGTTTATTCCTATAAATGCATTATATTTGTGAACCTACTTGGCAATAAAGTGGAATCTGATTCAGGGAGAGATTAGTCTGATTCTGACAGTGATGAAAACATTGTGTGATTGATGTCAGTGTCTCTCAGGAGCGCTGTAATTTCTTTGTTCTTTTCACCGGTGTGTTGTAACTGTCAATTTCAGACAGGATTAATTTCACATAGACATCTCTAACTGTTTGTGTGTTATTGTACGGGCTTCCCCACTCTCTCTACAGGCAATCCGTGTGTTCTTCATGTTGCGGTCTTTATCGCTTCAGCTTCAGGGAGAACCTGAGACGCAGCTGCCTCTGACCAGACCTGAAGACCTTATCAAGACAGACGACGTTTTAGACCTCAGTAAGACAAATGCAGAGAAACAGAGGCACACTGTATACTGTACAAAACCAGACCACAGGATAACTAACGTGCTTATTTATTCATCATTTTTTTCACTTTGGGGAAATAGTTAAACGTCAGGGTGGGGATAGACACCTTAAATTATATAATTAAGTCCAATTAGTTCAAAAAAAGAATAATCTAAGAAAGTCAAGGAAAGACAATTACAGACACTTGCCTCTCTAACTACAAGAGCAGAAGAAAACAATAACTCTTACCACCCCTGCAGGAGTTATGGAAACTTGCAGTGTACAATTACCCCAAGGGAACCTCCATCAATCTACAATTACAGCATAAATATCTGAAACACTTTCTCTTACGCACTTACACACTCTCACATTCGAAAGGAAGAAATAGATGCACAGCACAGACATACAAGCAATATTCATACACATGCACATGCAAACATTCACAACCACCACGTCACAGACGAGCATACAGACACACTCACAAGTATCTGCGCACACCGCTTCCCACACACTTGAGATAACCTGAACAACCTTCTCTTACTGTACACAGGTGTGTAGATGGTGTTATGGAAACTTGTACGTGGTTAGCTCTGCCTTGCAGGATATCACAAGTACAGCTGCACAGTAATGTGAACAGTAGTGATGACTCTGTCACACACGCTCAGTGCACAAACTTTGCAAATCTGTAAATCTTTTTTTTGGGGGGGGGGGTTGACATGTGCATGCATGTTGTGACTACTTAAAACAATACATAGACCGCACAGCACTCCACTAACTACAAAATTTGTAAAAGAGACAAACTTTTGCTTTAAGGAACATATGGAAACATTTTGGGAGAGAAAGGAAGCTTTGGGAGATAATAACCAACATAGAATGATTAAATAAATGAGTAAAAGATGTTATATTTCCTGTATTGTTTCCTTATACTACCACCCCCCCCCCACCCCCCTCCTTTTTAGAAATATAATGGCGTAATCATAAACGCCTTGTCAGTGTCAAAACACCTTTTATACACCGAGCAGGATGATGTTTTTATGTATCAGGAACGGCCTACAACCTGTACCTAATGTGCTGGTGTCATAACACTGAATTTAGTTATTGTGTGACTCAGCGGAATACTGTTTACCAACCAAGAGCAATGGAATAAGCAGCCTTCTACTTAATCTCTGAATCTGTGGAAATATGTTAGTAGCATGTTCACTTATATGTTAAAAAAAACATGCAGATTAGATGAACTGGTGACTCTAGTGTGTGTGGGGGGGGGACCTTAACAATTTCAGTGTACATAAATAAAATAATCAAAATGACAGAATACATACCATTTTACTCATGGCTTTCAGTTTGAGAGTAGAGTCGGTGAGTAGACAGGAAGTTGTCTCCTCCTCCTCTCTATTATTTGAAATGAGCCCATTACCTAATTTTTATTTGAAGCAGAACATCTCAGAAAGAAACTGGTGTTCACCATAAATTCCCCATTTCAGGTCATATGTCATAGAGTATCCATATTAAGTTATGTTGTGATGCAAGCAAAGAAAGCCTCTTTTCCTCTGTCTGTTTTCTTTTCCTCTTTCACACTTTCTTTGCACATCTCTGTTCATCTGTGGACAGTACCCACCCAGCCACAGCCTGTTCACCCTGCTGCCTTCTGGAAGAGATATAGAAGTTTCAGCTGCCACACCACCAGACTGCAGAGCAGCTTTCCCCCCCAAGCTATCAGACTCTTAAACTTTAATTCATCCTCAGCACTGCCCCACTGATTGTTTTTTTTTTTCTGTTTGCCCTTTTCATATTTGCTTCTATATTATTGCATATTGTCTGCTACTTAGCAGAAGGGAGTTTCAAACTCAATTTCACTCTATAACCTGACAAAATAAATCTACCTTCCTATAAGGATAAACATTTAAGAAAATCACAAACTTTTTAAGATAATTATATTATTTATATTATTTGTACCACTGCAAATTTAGGTAGGCAAAGCATTTAAGAGTTATCGTTTCATCTGTGATGACTGAGCTGCAGTTTCGGTACTTTTTGGAAACACATTTGCAGAACAACTAATGATGTAAACCTGATGAAAGTGGCCTGATGAATGGATCAAACCAATTACACAGCAGTGTGCCTTCAGATTAAATGTTTTCTGGAGACATGTCACAGTTGTGTCACCATTGGTTTCTGCATACGAATATTGCCAGTTTCATTTTTTTAATGCATTTTTGTCTTCAGACTGCATGAAAACAGACATAATTAGCAGATATCAATAACTGATGTAGCTGTAATTCTTGAAAGACATTTCAATTTTGTGATTTGGTGTAAGCTCGGCTTTCGTTTGTCCCAAACCCTGGTGATAAAAACATACCAAATTCAAATGTTTTCTCCACTCCCCTCTTTTTGGGATGGGGGTGGGTGTCGCAAAAAAATCACTTGACTAATGGATGGAAACATACCTAGTGAAACCAGAATGTCTCCCTGCAGCTTTACTTTCAAATCGAATTCAGTGGTTGAAACTGTAACAGTTTTCATAATTCCAAATGCCAGTCGAAAGAGTCTGTGGCAGATTGAGGTATTGATTTAAGTCATATCAGGTGTGACATGGATTCCAGTCATTTTTTGTCACTTGAATTTATATATATATGACTATCCAGATTATGCCAGAAGGAGCAGGCACAACCTCACGTGATCTCATGGGGAAACAGACGTAAACAAATGATGAGTAAATGGTTGGGGAGACACGGGTTGTTGATTCTTCAGTGAGAACTGGAAATGGGATTGTGAGTTTTATTCAGTTCATTTCTGTTGACAGTACTATGCTAGCCTCAAGGGCTAGAATGTTTTCAATTGCTGTCAACTGCTGTCAACTGAGCATGGCTTAACTCCAGCCATGCGGGGCTTTAAAAAAAACTATTCCCTTTGTTGGGTTTACTTCTGTTCATTTTTCGTTTTACTAAGTCACTGTCACTTTCATTTAAGCAAGGTGGTTGACTAAGAACACAATACAGAGTAATTGTGGGGAGAGGGAGGGTTTTTCCTTGTGGGTTTTGGGGATTTAAACTGGCAACCTGCCACCCACAAACTCTTTTTTCTGACCATAAGGCTGCCACCGCCTCCATTTCACCACATCCTCTGGTAACTGTTGAATCATTTTCCAATTTCTGCACCTGTATTGTGTGAGTGGAGTTGTAGCCTTGTGGTTGCAGAGATGGTCTTGCAAGTGGAAGATGATGTTGCATTCCCATCAACAGGAACTTTGCCTTAAGTGTGAAAGTCTGCCTCCAATGAGCATGCGAAGACATTAATTCATGTTGATACTGTTTAACATGGATTATTTCATTGTAAAACTTGCGTAGTGGATTTATAAAGTATTAACCACTACTTGTTTTTGGTTCTTGCAAGTAGTTAAAAGTGTCAAATTGCTCAAAAGTCACTTTTGAAGACACTGATTTTTATGTCTTTATATATTTCTACTGAACATGACCAGTTATCTATTTAGGAAGAGATATCCTTTGAGGCTTGAAACTAAAGTCACATGTTTTGTTCTCGCACCAGTGAATACAGTCACTGCATTGTGTACCTTGAGTAATGTGGAGCCTTAAAGAGGTGGTATTATGGTTTTAGGCTTTTTCCCTCTCCTTTATTGTGCATGTACTATTTTTGCAAAATGAAAAAGCCCAAAGTCCACCCCAAAGGGAGTTCCCATCTCCCACAGAAAACACTGCTCTGAACTGCATGAAAACAGCTCGTTTGTAGTCCAACCTTTACTTCCCTTTCTTGTGACGTCACAATGAAAATACGTGTCATAATGCTTGCTGAGTGACTACTCCGACACGCCCTCAAAAACACCGGTGGAAAAACACTGAGCTGCAGCACACACCTCTCCTCTCCCTTCCAAACACTAGCTACCCTCCAAGCAGTCAATGGAATTGAAGTTGTTACTGTGATGTAGAGACAGAGCTCAATTAAAACTTTATGGATGAAAGATATTTTTGTTACAGATTAATAACTCACCACTCCAAATTGCCAACCTGGTCAGCAACATGTAGCCTACAGCTGAATCGAAGCTGTTTACCTTCTTTCCGCTGACCCGCCTTTCTCTGTTTCTGATTGGCTATTACCGGCCTTTCGCTGATCTGCCCTTCCCTGCTTCTGATTGGCTAGTAGTCCTTAACTAAGAACTGTGCATGTGCAACTCCCAACAAAGATCATTTACAGACAAGATGTATCACGCCGTAGCTAAAACGAAGCCTTCAACACAGGGTGAAAAGAGGAGCTGTAGCAATGTGCAGTATGACAAAAAATATGGTGTTTTTTGAAAATTAAACCATGTAAACCTGTTCTGGTACAACCCCTAAATAAGATTTTGAACCTGAAAATTAGCATAATACCACCTCTTTAATATCTCAAGGGAGTACTTGCATGGACAGGGAGTGTTGGAACATAAACACACCATTAAGGCTGGCAGGTGCTCACTGCACTCTTGTCTGGTGTTTTCACTGAACAGCTTATGTCATATCTTGCTCAATGGTACGTTGGTTGCTGTTAGAAAAGGCAGAACTACAGACTGAATAGAACAGAGGTTTTCTCACTTCAGTTAGGTCATCCAAGTCAAAAAAACGATATAAGAGAACCAGGTTTCTGAAGAATTTATGCAATAAATAGCATCAGCAATGTATTTTCTAAATGATTAACAATTGCGAAACTGGCCTGATGAGTGATGAGTCATGACACAGCAGTATGCCTTCAGACACTAAAATGATTTTGGTCTCATTGTAAGACCTTAGAATTTCAGTCCTTTTGTAGTTGCTTAAACATCTAAATGCCTTTTGTTCTTCCTTATTCTGGGAGGAGTGAAATTAAAACTTCCATTGACTAATACATGGAAACATACTGTACCTTCTGAAACCAGATAGAAAGGTGCTTCCCTGCTAAACAAATTCAGTGATTGAACCTGTATCTCTTTCAATAAAAAAAAAAAAAGACTACTGGATTCAACATGACGTTTATTAGCTGTCCCACATTTTCAAGCCTTTTGACTGGGCTAGTTGACCCCACTTTCTGTAGTCAGAAGTTAAGTAGAAGGTGGGTGGTAGGAGGGTTTTTTCCGAGGTATTCTGAGGATTTAAGCTGTCAAACTCCCCCTCATTTCTTTGACCATTTAGCTGTAAGCTTCCCTTTGCTGTCGTAGTAAATCGGGGACTACCTCTCCAGCTGCAGGTACTTTTCACAGCTTCAGTGGGTAAAGTCAAGTTCTTGGCAAACCCCGTTGATCTATTAATATTGGTTAGAGAGAAAGTCAAAAAGCCAGAAGGCCACATGTATGATATACACTACAGCTGTCTAACCTCGAGAAACAGACCACAATTACTGAAAATGGTGGTGGTTGAGGTGAGTCCCACCCCACTTCACTGTGAAGCGCTTTGAGCTTCCATGATAAAGCGCTATATAAATGCATTATTATTATTATTATTAAAATAGGGTAAATGATCCCACAGAGCAAACACTACGGCACTGAAGGGGCTTCTTAAACAGACAAAAACCCAAATGTACTCAAGGACATGGATCCAACAGGTTTTGCACATACATTAGTCACATACCAGTTTAAAGATGGATTGGTCAGGATTCTGGAGAATAGAAATCAAGGAACTAGAGAGCATAAATATTATAAAGTGGAAGTCAGTCTGCAAGAGAAAGGGATGTTTAGCAAGGGGTTGTACGTCAGTGTGGTATTACTAGTTTAGAGCAAGTGAGGGTGGGTGATACTTAAACCAAAACCTGTGGTGTCAGTCATCATCAGTTCCACATTTACTTACAGTTTCTTGATCATCTCGTCCTTGCAGACATGTGGGAGAATAGCATCTTATCTCTCCGTATGTGTGTATAGCACTCGGTCTGTTTTGACTGACTGTGTGCTTCTGTCTAGCTGCTGTGTCAGTATGTATTAACTGTAAGTTAGTGTGGACATCTGGCCTTAAAATAAAGTCATATACAACTTGCCAGTAAAAAAATACAACTACACTAAATTAGGAACTAACACCTTTCGAGTCAGTGAAAAGTGTCTCAGGGGAGGGTCTATCGTTTGTGTTTTTGATGAAACAACGGCTCCTTCCCTATGACTATGGGGTGCATGCACTAATACAGTGGGCTAACTTCGACAACCCAGCTATATTCTAATGTTATTATAGGGCTGTCCCCGACTAAGGATTTACATAGTCGAATCAGAATCGTCAAGTCCTGCCTATAGTCGAATCATGTGTGTGTTTTTGTGTGCGGTGATTGCAAGCGCGGGAGGGTTACACACAGTCGCTCCGCTTGAGAAGCTGCAGAGCTTTCATTCAACTTACACTGTAAATTCCCAGCTAAACTGAGGCTTTTTGAAGACCCCTCTCTCGCGCGCGCGCGCCTGTCATTCAACGGTCTTGTGCAGACTTTTAGGTGCATTACTGCTGCCAACAACTGCATGCACGTCACGGTATTGTATTAGGCTGTATATTAACTTATTGGGAGCAAACTGGTAGTTCTATGTAAAATCAGACGTTGAGCACCCCGTATCGCCAAAATGGCCTAATTCACAGACTAAGTACAACCCATTTGAACCCTGAGCCTGGCGCAGTGACCATTTTTTCCCGCTGATAAACTAGCAGAATTGGAGTTGGGCACGCCCTAAACACAAGTGCCCTATGCACTTCACCCCATGTGCTTAGATCGTTTAAATCGGGTCCAAACTGTTAACCAAACTGTTAACTCACTGGATAACTATGACTGAGAATCTTCACAGACATGGATAACTATGTTAACTCATAGTTCTTCTGAACTGACATTTCCCATAACTGGGGTGGTGATGGCGCAATGGATAAGACGCATGGCTTTGGTGTGTTCAACTCTACACTGTGACACATCCACCAATGTGTCCCTGAGAAAGACCCTTAACCCCTAGTTGCTCCAGACGTGTGCGATCTCTGACATATATAGCAATTGTCGCTTTGGATAAAAGCGTCAGCTAAATATGGAAATGGAAACTCAACACCAGACTCCCACTGAACATAAAGTTGGGAAATAGCAGGCTAGCTAACTTATTATCTTTCTAATTCTATCATTTTTGGTCCAATAAATAGAAATTCAATCAAATTCAGTGCCCCACATCAATATTCCAAGCTACTGTAGCTATCATATTTCACAGGACCTGCAGTGAGTGCAGTTTCCATGGGAGCACTGCCATTGAGGCTTTCAGCATACAGAAGTAGTTTCATCTAAAGTTTTTTTTCAGGAAGCAGTTTTTTTTCTTCTCCAAAGTGGCAATAATGGGAATTTAGATCATACGTCAAGGTTTTTCTAAAGAAGATGAATCATTTTATTCATGGGTAATATAAAACAGAAGTCTTTAAGGGCTGTTAAAGCTGCAGTGTCCTTAGTAATCAAATGTTCCTGTGAAATAATCCTTAACTGTGTATGTGTTCTGTGTAAGTTTTAGCAGTTGTATTCCTAAACTTGTGTTTGTGGAAGTTTAATTGTTTTCATTAGAGACTTTTCACATATAATACTTTTTAATCTAAATGATGTTATACCATCAGACAGTAATGTCCATATCTACAGTACAGTCTATTGTATGTCCATTACATATTTTATATAATTACAGTGACCACAGGGGACATGTCTATCATAGAGCTTAATTAGACTAAAACCTTGATTAGAAAATGTGATTCAGTGAGACAGTCTATTGTTATTTTTAGTGGCTCTAGGGTCGACAATGCTAGTGTGTCAGTCTGCTGGCTCCTACTTCACTTAAGTTGCATGACAGTAACTACTAATAATTATAATTATTCTAAAACAGATTCTTCCTGCTCTGCCTGCTGACTCTTCGTCGTGTTATCTTGTGCAAACAGCATATTTTAACATCCTAAGAGGTGATACTGTATTTAGTAAAGATCACCGCCAGACCTCAACCTGAATTATAAAGCAATACATTTATAGTCATGCCTGCCATCTTTTTCAGACAACAGTGACCTAATAGCCTGTATGGTGGTCAGTAAAGATGGCGGCCAGGCCCAGAGGTTCCTCGCTGTTGATGTGTACCAGATGAGTCTGGTCGAGCCAGAAACCAAACGGCTTGGATGGGGTGTCGTCAAGTTTGCCGGCCTTCTGCAAGTAAGAGAAACGTGGTGTTTCTTTGTCTGTGTGGATGTGTCTATGTGCTAAAGACTTAATGCTACATCCTCTTTTGTCTTTCTTAATCCCCGCTCTGCCAACAAGTTGTCCCTCCTGTTTCTCTTCTTATCTTCTTAATTCACCAGGTGTTGATTTGTTGTTTCCTGAGCCCTTCATATCATGTTTCACTGGAAAACCTGATAGACCTATATCATGAGAGAGCAAACAGTAACATACTTTACTGTCACCTTTAAGTACAAGCATGTTCAGTCATGCTGTCTACCAGTAACAGTGTACAATAAATTAAAGTGATATTGCATTTCATTTTTCGAAGGAAAAAATCTGAAATCTGAATTTCAGAAAATACACAATGTGCTATTGTGAAACCGATTATTTTTTATTTTTTTACAATGTGTTTCCTATGTATTTTGAATCGATATATTGTCTTCTTTTTTCTGTTATGGATGACATGTTAAGTACTGGGTCTTAACTTGCAGTTGATGTCCATGGCCCTCTCGACTCACTTTCCATTCATTTGTATATCTCATTCTCTTTTCCTCAAATAATTGTTTCACTTCTTTTTGTCTGTCTTTGTTTCCTTCACTTTTTCCTTCCCACTAATCTCCCTCTTTACATTTATCTCGCTCCCTATCTTGGTTTAATCTCTCTGACATTCTCTCCTCACTTTTTGTTCCCTCCTTCTCTCTCCCTCCCTAACTCTCTCAACAGGACATGCAGGTGTCTGGCGTTGAGGACGACAGCAGAGCGCTGAATATCGTCATTCACAAGCCCAGCTCCAACCCCCACGCCAAGCCCCTGCCCATTCTGCAGGCCAACTTCATCTTCGCCGACCACATCCGCTGCATCATCGCCAAGCAGAGACTGGCGAAGGGTCGCATCCAAGCCCGACGCATGAAGATGCAAAGGATTTCAGGTGAGTGATAAGAAAAGCCTTTTAAGCCTTCTGCCCTAATGGTCCAAATGACCCATTTCCTCTTTTTTAAAAGGGACAGCCACTCTGATGTCCTGGGCAGTGTGTTTCAGAATCTACTTTGAAAGTACAGTACAGTTAAATAGAAAGCAATGGGAGAAAATAGAAAAAAGTACACAACAATCAAATTTAGTCATCAGTCATGTACAGCTAGCACTGTTTTTAGCAACATCCTCAACAAAAGGATGAAGCCCTCTTAGATTTTTGGCAAACATAACAAAAAAGCCAAACCAAAATATCACAATGAATCATTAGTCACTTCAAATTTAGTAGAAGTGAAATTACTTACAACAAAAGTGAAAGCTAATGTCTTTAAGAGCGTCACAGTATCAATCATCCCCTGAATTTAGACAGTGTCCTTCTTTTCGTCATTCAAATATAATCAATCAATTAATATGTTTATTAAAAATTACTTCTTTATTTTGTTTAGCTATCAGTTTCGTATCTTTCTTTTTCTTGTACTTCTGTCATCTGTGATAATTCACAGTACAAGGTAGGTGAACAGCACAGGGTTTGTATAACCAGACGAATTATGTGACCACAACTAAAGTGTAAATATGTCCCCATGCTAATTTCATCTCCCGGCCTAAGAGGCTGATCCTTCTATGTGTACATTCAAACATAAAATCATCAAAAATATTTTAGTATTGTAAATACTGATGGATTACCCATCAGTCACACAAGGGACACTATTTTTTGTTTGGAATTTCCCATCCTCTCCTAAAGTTGGACTTCAGTCCCTTTCTGGGACACATTAATGTTGCTGTGTTCATATCCCTCTTACACTCTCTGCTTCCTGTAAACACAGCTCTGTTGGACCTTCCTGTGCAGCCAAGTGCGACGGAGGTGTTGGGTTTCGGTCAGACAGCCAACGCTTCACCCAGCGCCCTGCCTTTCCGGTTCTATGAGCAGTCAAGACGGGCGTCCAACGACCCCACAGCGAGTCGATCGGTCTTCGCCTCCGTCGATAAAGTACCAGGTGACAAGGGTCCACCGCCTACATATACTGCTTTATCCTCTCCACTACTTCGAAGATCCAGAAACTCCAGAAAACTTTTTATGCTTTTTTTCTCTGTTTTTAAATCTGGACATTGTAGACACTAAAAAGATCAGTAGCAGAACACCTCTAAACTAGATCAGATCCTACAAACATCATAAAACAACTGTAATAAACTCAAACCCCTAATTGACACAGACTGGGTTCTTTATGAGAAATATAATAATAATGATGATGATAATAATAATAATGATAGAATATCAGGTAATTGTAAGTTTACTAAGACCCTCTAAAACAAAGGGTGATAGTATCTTAGCTGTGGAAATGGGTTTGGGATTTGATCTTTAGTGTAACAGTGAGTCAGTGTTGTTTCGATTCGATTAGAGCCTTTGTGTAGAAACCCCCACTGACGTTTAATTTTTTTAAAAGTCATGTTACTTCCTTTTATGTTAAATACCTTTTGCTATAGTTTTATTTTAGGTTGACTTTTCGTTGCCTTGTCTGTCCCTGCTAAATCCTTTTTGTCAGGTTTATATTACCTGCTGCAGTTCCTGAATAGGACTCTTTGTGTGTCTTAGCAAGGAAACGTGCTCCTGTGGAAACTAACTTAAGTCAACTTTTATTGAAATTTTTTCATAGCCACTAGAAAGGTCAACAAAAGTCAACATGTTTTCACCTAAAGGCCAGTTTTTCTGATTAGTATTCATGTGTATTGTGTTTTCAGTAAATTGCAGTAATATTTTCTCTGTCTCTCATTCATACATGTGAACATATGCAAAGAATGCATAGGTACATAATGATGTGTGTGTATATACTGTGTGCCACACAATATTCAGACTCTTATATCACGTACATTGACGGAAAAAAAACATTGAAAGGCAAGATTCATCATCTGAAAGGATGTAAGGGCTAGATATGGTCAGATGAAATATTTGCCCACCCATGGTAACACAGGCGTGTGTGTCTATGTCCATGTGCGCATCTCCAGGTTTTGCAGTGGCTCAATGTGTATCGCAACACAGTCCCTCGCCCCTCTCCTCCCCCTCGCCTCCCTCCAGTGGGAGTGGGAGCACAGGAAGATGTGACTCTGTTACTGCAAGCACTATATCAGCTCAGAGCCCCACAGGTAGCTCACACGCAGTACATCTACATTACCTACAAACACACACACAGAAGCACATAAGGTGCATTATAATGTGCAGATTCTATGCTGGATTGTAAAGCCAATACTATTGGGAAAGTCAAATGGCAAAAGGAGCCTAATTTGAAAACAATGTGATGTAGCTAGACTTATGGAGCTGACGTGTGGCTTACACAGTATATCTGCACTACATAGCACACACATACCACCTTGACACACAGAGTATTGGGCGTTGGGTGTAACTGATGCACTATACATATATATAGTATCTCATAAAAGTGAGTACACCTCACATTTTTGTAAATATTTGATTATATCTTTTCATGTGACAACACTGAAGAACTGACACTTTGCTACAGTGTAAAGTAGTGAGTGTACATCTTGGATAACAGTGTAAATTTGCTGTCCCCTCAAAATAACAAATCACACAGCCAATAATGTCTAAACTGTTGGCAACAAAAGTGAGTACACCCCTAAGTGAAAATGCCTCAATGTACACACGCACCCACACACAGTTTGTGGGGGTGTCACTTGAGCTGTTGGTATATAAGTAGCCCAGGGACACACAGGGCTTCCTCTGTCACACAGTCACAGAGAATGTGTGGTGTTTCTTTGTGAATGTAAAAAGTTATCTGCACCCATACCTCAGTAGATTCCTGCTATTCATGACTCAGGGCGTTTGTACACCATGCTTTGTTTGGAGAAGTCCGTTTCACCTTAACTCTAATGAACTCAGATGAACTGGATTCCAGAGCAGGTGAAAGTATCACAGTATCACAGAATTTAGAAAGCGCTGCATTGATAAAAATGAAAAGGGACTCCATATGGTGATTAACAATTTCTGTTTTTACATAATTACATAAATGTATGATTGAATGTTCCATATCAGCAGTCCTAAGTTGGTTAGACACTGCAAGAAAAATCTGTCATAAGAGTGTTTTAACTGGTCAGGCTGTTTCTTGGTACGGACTGTATGTGCATAGACAGTGTTTCATTCAGTGGCCCTATGGCGCCATAACTGCAGTTAATTTTACTGTATGGAAAACAGCACATTACAAAAGAGCTTTATTTTTTATATTAAACTCTTTGATATTGACAGCTAAGCCTACACACTTTTATGTAACCTGTTGCTTTGTGGTCTAAACAGATGGTAACAACAATATAATCTGTTTTCCATGCCTGTGATTGTGCAGTAGTTTCGCTTAACACTCCGCATTCCTGTACTGTACAAGATGTCGTCATTTTAATGAGGCCTTTGTGGAATTGTAGTTTCTTCCTCTGAGGTCAGAGAGAAGGTAACAACAGCTTGATCTGTTCTTCCCGACCCCGGTAAATTCTGCAGCCGTAGCTCTGATAGGTACAAGTGTAAATTGTTAAGTGCATGGTAAGCTTCAGACAGAGTGATTCAAATAAAGGACAGCATGCACGAGACAAATAAGGGCTTACTTATGTATGTATATGTACAGAGACCATGACAGTGTTTTGGACCCCAAAAATTGCTCCTTCTTCTTCGTCAGTTGTCATTTAAACTGACAATGGGGCCAAGCCTATTACAGAGCAGGACAAACATTTTTTGAAGGCTTTATTAAAGAGAAGCCTCATCATGTCACACTAGGTCCAAAGGGAGAATGCATAAAAATGTGTCTTCACCTCACCTGCCTCATTCTCTCCTCTAGATGATGGTACGTTTTTGGAGCACACCCCGCCCTCATCCTCAGGCGGAGAAGGAGAAGGAGGAGAAGTAACACTAGTCTCTTCTACTCCCCCTGCCCCAGCCGCGGCCCTGGCCCCGAGCCTCACCCCAGCGTCCCAGCCCACCATCTCCCTCCTCACCGACAACAGCGCAGACACCCTCAGTGTGGAGTCGCTCACGCTGCTGCCCCCCGCCGATTCACCGCACCTGCATCCCGCAATGCACTCCCTCCAGAGACCAGACGCCTCCATTGCAGAGGAGGAGGAGGACGACGACGACGACGAAGAGAAAGAGCAGAGTAGGAAAGGAGGGCAGTTAAAAGAGGAGGAGCTGCATGAGGAAGAGGGGTCGCCGATGGACGAGACAGACGAGACCGCAAAAGAGGAAACCACAACGACGGAGTTGGTCACACCCACTGACGAGGCGCCAGAGAGTGAAGACAAACCGCTCGAAGTGAATAGAGACCAAGTCTCTGCTGTAGAGCTGCAAGTAAGAGACGAGTCAATGGTGACAGAGTACATAGAGGAGACAGAAGATGCAGGGATAAACACTGAAACACCAGACTCACCTGAACTGGATTAAGCAGCACACACACACATTCGGGCAAACTCCCCTCTCTCTTTCTCTGACACACACACACACACACACACACACACACACACACACAGAGGACAGTGATGTGAGATAAAGTATCCAGCTTGGCTGCGGTATATTTTCAAGTTGCGGCCTGTAGTGTGTGATGTGAGTAGTCTAAGGGGCTTTTGGAGGCATCTCAGCATTTGTGTTTGCACATGAAGAAAGACTCTTTTTACTCGCAGAGAGAATAGAGAGGCGAGACGGACTCCAGTTGAACTCAAGAAAGGCTTAAAGCACATTTGGGTTTCCCTGCATTTGAGTGTGTCCATTGTGTTTTTAGCAAGCGTGTGTGAAGGCGCGTAACCAGCAACAATCCACTCATGCGGTTTTAAAAGACCTGCTCTATTTTATGTTCACATAATGGTTCACCATTAATGTTGTGTTGTGGTGGTCACGTCTATGCTAACACACACACACACACACACACACACACACACACACACACACACACAGTCAGCTGTATTTGCCTTTAACCCCTGCATGTCAGACCCGTCAGCAGTTACTGCCACGTACAACTGCCATTGTCTAGGTGCGCGTGTGTGCGTGCGTGTGTACGTACGTGTGTGTGTGTGTGTGTGTGTGTGTGTGTGTGTGTCAATTTTCCATTTAATAATTGTGTCTGTAAACGAAAATGTATTAAATAGCATCTTGAGCAAGGAGGGAGCAGGTCTCAGGCTTTTTGATTATTATCAACGCCAGTTTCCATCATTGTTACTGTTGATCTCTTGGGCTGACAGTTTAGGACGGGTTGCTTGAGTGCACTGCAACAAAGCATTTTTTTCAGATATGCAACAGTAATCAACAAATTTTGACCTCGTTGGATTGGCTTTTATTTTAACCTCCATTCCAGATCCCAAACTTTCTTCCCATGGTAATACTTTAGCTCATAGCGTGCAGGAATTAGATCATGTGTTCATTGACAGAGGTGATCCACCAATCAGCAACCATGACTGAAAGAAGAAATGGAGCGATCTGAATGGAGCAAAAGCTGCTGCAAAAGTGGTACAGTTATAGATGTAGTCATACAAAATGGGATGGCAGGCCAGTGAGTAGTTTGCTAAATAAAGTATTTTAGCCTGTAGCAACACAGGTGTGTGCTGCTGTTTTACTGATTGAACAGTACTGTTGGATATATTTAGAAAAATAGATTAAAAATTTTATTTGCTTGATTAAATGAAACACTGACAGCCTCATGGAGCGATGCAGTATACTAGATATCAGTGATGTTAGACGAGCCTTCAGGTCTACACAACAACGTTAGGTTGAATGTATCTGCTGATTGCCCCTCAGGCACTGACCTCAGCTCAGTTTTAGTATGTATCTGGGAATGGGTTTAAATAGATAAATGAGCATCTCATCTATATACTTTACTGAATTCATGTCAAAACAGGATGCTGAGAAAAACATGTTTTCTTTCCATCCAGCAACTGGTGAACCATAAAATACCTTTCAGGAAGTAAAAAGTATTATAATATAGAAGTAGTATAATGTAGTTAATATGCACGGCTGTGTTTAGGAAAAGCAGCATTTAGATTTTGTCAGATGTTGCTCTGAGGTCAGTGTCTAGGGACAACCACCCCCCCCTGCCCCCTTTTAATCATTTGAATAAAGCTTTACTACTGCAATAATCCTAAAAGCTAACCAATGAGGGGAGAGATGAATGTAACGGACAACTTGTCTCTCCAAACAGCTGTGTTTGATCAATGTGAATGGGATCAGTGTATTTTATCCTTTATTCATGACTTGATTTGTAACTGTTAGGATAAAGCACAGTCACGGATTCTTTAGAACATATTTTCTCATTATCTCCTCATCCTCCTTAATCCTTTTATTGACTTGTGGCTTTGCTTTCCAGCTTACACTCTTCTTCTGTGTGCCATTATCATACGGCTAAAGTCTTAACGCTCGATTGTTCTTGTTATTTTTTTTATCTCTGTACAGTCATCAAGAAGTTTATAAAGGAGAAATTGGAGCAATACTTGTTTTTCTCTTAGTTTTTCCACCTTGCTACTGTAAATAGCAGAAGAATGATAGTGATGATTACAGATGTGCTGAAGAGGCTTGGCACAATTTGTAGAGCAGCTACTGATGGTTTGAAGGAACACGCCGCCATGTTTGGACACAACATGGCGTTATGTAGCCTGTAACCATTGGCAACCTCTCTCTAAACATGTCGTGACTAGCTTCCGTTACTTTAGTCTCTGATTGTAGTGTGTGTGTATGTAATATGTTTGTATGCTCTGTAAATGCTTTTGGCTTTTAAACCTGTAATTATTGTTAATGAACTGAAACAGAGGAATAAATAAAGAACTGCAATAAATTATTCTACTTAACAACAGTGAGGCAGCTGCACGAGTCTTGTCATTGTGTTTGCAGACAGAAGAGGGTTTGTTTGTTTTTTTTCCACTGTGGGACTGTGCTCATTCTCTCTCTTACTTGTGATTGTTTCCCTCCCTTCTTCACAGAATCACACTCTTGTAGTAACAGCAGAGGTAGTTCTCCTCAGTGTTTGAGCAAGAAAACCACAGGAAATATTAGAAAAGAACTGCCAATCCCAGGAACACACGCCCCCTTGAATACTACATAACTGATTGTGCAAAGGCTTCCAGTGATTGTGTTTCATGGCCAAAGGAGCACAGTTTTTGCTCGATGCAATTTTATTACAAATAGAAATGTGAGACTGTTTATATAATAATGAGAGTCTTCAAACACATTTCTATGTTGAGAATCCAAAACATGGTCCAGAAAACCCTGATTTACACTGAGCGTTAAGGTCCATCTAGAATTTGTGTAAGGGAAAACGTGTTGCGACCACCACTGCAGTTGTACAAACGGGTGTAAACTTGAATTTATACTAGTGCGTGTGTGTACAGGACGGTCGCAAGACTAAGATGACGTTGCCTTTACACGTTCTACCTTCTATGTGTTCCTCTGTGGCTGCTGCAGGAGCCCTCAGTCATCTTGTGGTCTGTATGTGTTGCTTTTATCGCGGTTCCTCTCTTCAGGGAAGTCTGGTTGTGTGTGCGTAAACATGTGAATGGGTTCCTGGTACTGCAACCATACTAAAGTGCTCTAGTGTGTGTCTGCGTGTGCATTTTCTCTGTACTAAACCGCAGTCACAGCAGGTTTGACTGTAGAGATCTTAGCTTTGAAGAATTGTCTGTGCAGCTGGGCTGTTTAAGTCTGCACAGCCCTGAGTTTGTAATTATTACCAAAGATTAATACCATTTATAATCCCTGGTTTTGTTAGAGATAGTTTGAGACCTAGAGTGCATTCTAGTTTTTTGCATAGTATGTAGTATAGTGTGAGTTTTCCTATATAGATGTATGCAGAGTTTTATAGTGTAGTCTAAGCGAGCATCCTGGGTTTAACTAACTGTATAAACTTAATAAGGAAACAATAAAGGGACACCAAGTCCAAACTTATGAATTTAAGCAGCATTCATTCACATTTTTAATTATTTAGTATGTAACACACCGCACAGAGTAAGATCTCTCTCTCGTCCCAAACAATGAAGAGTTTAATCTCACTGAATTGTCCCTCCCGGCCCCCTTACAGTCAAGATGGCGGTGAAGATAACAAAAACAGGGATTTGTTCATCTCAGGTCGTGCCTAACTTTAGTGGATCATAACATATCGGGTATGAATTTATCTGCAGATTTCTATGGATGTCAGGTTTTGAGCCACGACAAAGGCCAAAATGTGGCCTGGAACAGACTAAAGCAATTTGTGCATCACACTGACAATTACGACAAAATGCAGTGCACTGTGAGTACCCGGATAGTATATTCATAACAGTCCAAACCTTAAATGTGGAACACTGGACACTATTAAACCCCAGTGGTCGCCATTGTGTCTACATAGTTGAAGGGGAGGGACTACTAACATATTTTCAAACTTCTGAAAATGGAGGCAGAGGAAGTTACAGTGGTTGCAATTGCACACACAAGCAAGTAAAGTACATTCATTTTTATAGCCTATATATAAAGTTGAAGCTAGTAGCCAGTTAGCTTAGCTTTGAACAAACATACAAAAGAGAGAGAGAAACAGCAAGGCAGGCTTTGTCTGTCTTTAACAAAATACACCTACCTGCACCCTAAAAGCTCACTAATAATGGTGCGTTCCATTTGACATGGGAAGTCGGAATTTCAAAGGGAACGTCTCCTTAGATAAAAATAATAGAAGTCAAATGAGCTAAAAAGCTGGCAGATATTTTGGCGGGTCGTCAAATGTTTCCGATTATGATCCGCCCACATGCAATTCGCCATTAAAAAGAAGTGGTCGAATGTAGTCATTGTCGTGCCGTGAAATTAGCCTAGTTAAGAGAACCCTAAATGTATGTGTTTGACATTTTGGGAAACTGACTTATTCACTTTCTGGTGGAGAGAAATTAGAAGATTGATGTCGATGTTATATTTGTCTGATAAATATTGCCGACGTAGCTTAGCTTAGCTTAGCTTAGCACAAAGACTGAAACAGAGCAAAACAGCTAGTCTAGTTTCCACAAAATTATCTACAAGGTAGTTATGAGGAAGGGGTTGGAGGTTAGTTAAGGTTAAAACCTCAAGTTAGACATGAAAAGTACACTACACCATCTGAAAAAGTGACACTCTCATAAATGTCATGAAATTACAAAATTTTACCAAATTATTCTGCTCTCTCAAGATAATGCTAGTTGGAGTCACAGCTCATCTTGTCTAATTTACTGTTCCCGCAAATTCTGTAATATCACTTGATACCACACATCTGTAAGTAATGTTATATATAAAGTTGAAGCTAGTAGCCAGCTAGCTTAGCTTTGAACAAACATACGAAAGAGAGAGAGAAACAGCAAGGCAGGCTTTGTCTGTCTTTAACAAAATACACCTGCACCATAAAAACTCACTAATAATGGTGCGTTCCATTTGACATGGGAAGTCGGAAATTTCTGAGTTCAAAGGTCAATATTTCAAAGGGAACGCCTCCTTAGATAAAAATAATAGAAGTCAAATGAGCTAAAAAGCTGGCAGATATTTTGGCGGGTCGTCAAATGTTTCCGATTATGATCCGCCCACATGCAATTCGCCATTAAAAAGAAGAAGTGGTCGAATGTAGCCATTGTCATTTCTGGTAAGTGCTGTGCCGTGAAATTAGCCTAGTTAAGAGAACCCTAAATGTATGTGTTTGACATTTTGGGAAACTGACTTATTCACTTTCTGGTGGAGAGAAATTAGAAGATTGATGTCGATGTTATATTTGTCTGATAAATATTGCCGACTTAGCTTAGCTTAGCTTAGCACAAAGACTGAAACAGAGCAAAACAGCTAGTCTAGTTTCCACAAAATTACCTACAAGGTAGTTATCATCATGAGATATTCCACTTCATGGGAAACGAAATTCTGTGGAGAAGCCTGAAGAAACAAAGAACTTATTTTCTACATGACTTTTCAAGGAGAACTGGTTTACAAGGAACTCAGGCCTTGGTGTTTGTTCACAGGAAAGCCTTGTCTAAGAAATCAAACTCAAGCAACCAGTGAGGCTGCCAGATAGGTTGGCTAATAGTCTATGTAAAAACTAATAGCCTTCATCACAGGGAATCATTCATCTTCATAATGCTGTTAGAATCTATTTCATTCAACTGAGCCTAATAAATGTACAATAAGATCACAATGCCGAAATTAGAGCTTCTTGTTCACATCGAATTTCAAGGTGATTTTTTTTGGAATGAACATCTCCCTGTTATCAATTCTCACTTTGTCCTCTGCCTTCTTCTGAGCATGTCTTTTGATACATCAGTTTTTACTTGATTTCTGTAGAAAGGTGTGAGTGTGTGTGTCTGTTTAAAGGACAGAAAACTCCCAGCAGAGGATTCCACTGAAATCAGCTGATAAGCATACAATCACAGAACACCTCACTTCACATTTCACTTCTCTAAATAGTCGGGAATGTCCTGAAAAGTGAAAAGTTATCAATGAAACTGCTACGTGAGTCACTCCTCACCATCCCCCAGCCCCACAAGAACACACACTTTGTGCTTGAATCTCTGACCAATCTCTGGTCATTTACCAAGTAAAGCTTCAAAAAAGTGAGGATTGATAACACGTACTATTAAAATTAAGATATTACATTATCATAGTGTTTACATCACTGACTCATCTTCCACTGTGGTTTGTGTATGTGTTCCACCCCTGTTCAGCCTCTTGCTCAAGCTGAGATAATTATATACTCAAACTACTCGGGCTTTACTTGAATCAAGTTGTGAGTATTATATTCAGTATGACTCAACATTGTGTGTGTGTGTGGCTACTTTTGTCTAGACCCAAGAGAATAAAAAAAAATCCCCCAAAAAGATCACAAAGCCTTATGGTAAGGTTTGGTTTTAGCGTTGGAGTTCTGGTTAGGTATGAGGAAGGGGTTGGAGGTTAGTTAAGGTTAAAACCTCAAGTTAGACATGAAAAGTACACTACACCATCTGAAAAAGTGACACATACTCTCACAAATGTCATGAAACTACAAAATTTTACCAAATTATTCTGCTCTCTCAAGATAATGCTAGTTGGAGTCACAGCTCATCTTGTCTAGTTTACTGTTCCCGCAAATTCTGTAATATCACTTGATACCACACGTCTGTAAGTAATGTTATATATAAAGTTGAAGCTAGTAGCCAGTTAGCTTAGCTTTGAACAAACATACGAAAGAGAGAGAGAAACAAGGCAGGCTTTGTCTGTCTTTAACAAAATACACCTGCACCATAAAAACTCACTAATAATGGTGCGTTCCATTTGACATGGGAAGTCGGAATTTCCGAGTTCAAAGGGAACGCCTCCTTAATCCCGACTTCAGGAGAATCGCACTACCCCGACTTCGCGATCCAAGATGGCTGTCAGGGTATCAACAATTAGTGAAAGCTCTAGTTTATACTGTTTATTAGCCCTTCTGTGTACTTGTGTCTCATAGAAATGTTCGTACACAAAGTGCTGTCCAACCGCTGTATGTGGTCGTGTTGCTACAGTGTTTAGTATGAGTAAATACCGCACAATGCAATCAACCGGCGTATCAATACCTAACCTGGCCAGTTGTTAACAATGGCTGTCCGAGCGAGGTTTTCCGACTTGTTAACTGGAACGCCGTCAACTCGTGTGTGATGTCATTCCCATTTTTGTTTAATTTATACAAAAACCAGTGTTTCTGCGCCCAGTCAAGAAATAACGTTAGCTAATCCGGCACATAACCCATGTAAAACTAAATTTGTTGCTTTTCTTTTTTTTGTTGTTGTAAGGATTAAAACAAAGTGTAATGGGTTACTTAATGAACTTTAGCGGTAGTAGTAGGCAGATTTTGTTGCCTTTGTGACAGAGCTTC